AGACAAGTTTAGCTGTATATATATTTGCATAGATGTGGAAAATACATTTAGTAGCATGCATCTCGCTAATGTTAAAAATAACATAAAAGTATTCCCAAGCTAGGTGTCTCTACAGTTGAATGCAAAAACAATAAAACTAATCAAATCCCCTGAGAAATTAATGCAATCATAAATTTAATCCTAATATAAATTCACAGAAAACTCTGTTTCTCAAAAACAGAATACGTACATGTATATACCATATTTGGGCATTTTGGGATACCTGATCCTAATTTCCTTGAAGAATATAAGATTCTATGATTACAGGGTTCTCCACATCTTTATCAAAATAAGTGGTAGAAAAAGTTAATCAATATTTTTCAGTTGAGTAACTTTTATGTTGCAATTAAATCAGAAATTCAACCCTCCCCCTGGCCAAAAGTTCAATCAAAATTATGCAGTTTTAACCATTCTGAGCACTTTTCAAGTGATTTTGGGCCAAAATGGTCAAATGTGAACCCTCTGGAATTTTTTAAAAAGTGAACTCCCCTTGGCAAAAGCTTGATACGGACCTGCCTACAAAAACAGGTTAACTACCCTTGCAAATCCTGTTTCTTTGCACTTATTAGTGGGTCTTTATATCAAGTTTCCAAATGTAATGGTAATGAATACATACATCTATAAATCATAGAGCTTCTACTTTTCATGCTTTTTATCAGTTTGTTACGAGTGCTCACTATGAATCAATTTATCACATGTTAGCTAATGGGCACTTCGACAACTTTAGATATAGACAGTTCTTGACTATACTGAGGTCATTTATACATACAAGCGATTTACAGCTGAACAAGAGAAAAACTGATGAATATCGCACTTGAAGAGTAAAATGGTCATTTTTTGTCATTTACCAGCATGTCCAAAACTAAGTTCATGTACTAAATTCTATTACTAGTCCGTAAAATGTCCATTCTCTGCATGCAGTAAAATCTATTCATCCATGAAATTATTTTCACACATAGCATGGCAAGGTGTCTCTAATTCCAGCCAATCAGAACACAGTATATCATATAATTGCATTGCATTATATAATCAAAAACGCATCCACTATAATGCACCCAGGGTACTTTTAGATTCTAGTGAAACATTTATCAATTTCATAGTTGAGGGAAAATCTATTTAAAGAGTATCAGAATGGAACAAGCCAGGTACTTATGTAGGTCAAATGGTTAGTTCTCAAATGAAACTCAAGGTTAGGAAATTGATGTTAGTGTTGACCTAGTTTTATCCTTGCAGAAAAGTTTCCTTTCATTCCAATCTCATGCAAAGGTCTGGAAACAAAACATTGGTGGAATGAACCATCCCTTAAATACACTGATTCCCTGACTTATATTCTCTAACTAACAAGTCCCTGAATCACAGAACTTAATATGACAAATAAATATCCAGATGATACCAAGATGGCACATAAAAATACACAATTCTTTGACTGTTGTACTTCTGATTCAGTAACCAGATTGTGATCAACCTTTTCTCAGTAACCTGATTAGGAAAAGCATGATCAAAAAAATATCTCTAACTAAAAGAGTATATGAAGTCAAATCAAACTATTAGAAAGAGTACAAACATAGGGGTAATTATCATTACTACTGCAAAACCTATCTTAGTAAACACAGTATATACCACTTTAACAGGTTTTACTGTATATAGCGAGAGCATGTAAAATCTATAACAGAAGCATTGTAAGTCAATGTGGCGCAGATAACCTTCTAACATGTAAATAAAATAATCCATTGCTGAAGTAAATTTCCGTACATGTAATGTAATTAAGTCATACTAAATTGTATCGTGCTAGCATCTGAATCTCAGTCAGTTATAAATTGCATGAAACTCCACCCACACTCTCCTTTGCATCCGAGGGAATCCCATGGGACTTAGTGGCCGTTGCCATATGAACAATATAATAAACCAATAATTACAACTAAATATTCATGGTGAAATAGAGAACCTTGGGTTCTGCTAGTGAAAGTCATTTTCCAGTATTGGTATATGAATTACTCCAATGAATCATAAAACTAGTGAATCGAATAAGATACAATAATCTATTTAATTTAGATACTAGAGCAGGTTGACATTCTGAATTAGGACAAATCACAGAATCATAAAAATCACAAGAAAAAACTGAGAATGTTCTATGCCTGCAAGACATGCTTACAAACCTATCAAATCAATAAGTAATGTATCTTAATAAGTGCAATCACCAAAGCTAAAGTGGCATCTATACCCGCCTCGGTTAGCAGACATGGATTCCTTATACTGTATGTTGTCATATCTGCAATCAATTTTGTAAGTCCTTCACAAGTTCGGGATGTTCCATTGATTTTCTAATATTTACAAAAGGGAGTAATTGATGTGTAAGTTAATACATGATCATGACTGGTGAAACATAAGATCGCTGAAACATAATGACCGATGAATCGGGTAAAATAAATGGCAATGATTTAGATGAAACAATGATCATAATAATATTAGTGAAACACATGATGTGGACACTTGATGCAAATAAAAACATCACAGGTAGAATGAATCTTTATTAATGATTTTTAACATATTCATTTTGATCTTGATTTGTACGAGACACTCCCCTTAATCCCTGGAAAAGTTCATTGCTCTCGGTCCCAAGGCAAAGCTTCTCAAAATCTAATTTGGAAAGTAATATTAAAGCCATTTCAACTTAAATGTCAGCATTAACATCATTTACTCTACAATATAAGATCAATCTTTCATTAAGATGACCAATTCTATTATAACTCAGACTAACTCCAGGTGATAGATCAGGGAAATTCAAAAAGTATTTTTTTTAAATTAGATAAATCGTCAAAGATTATTGTATTCAGTATGTTGTTACTGAACAGTAAGTTGAAAAACAATAACATGTTGATTTTAACATGGCTAAATATTACATAACATGACAACTCCCACACGTGTTAATTTCAAGAATCAAGGGAGTTGAACTTGAAATTGGCAAGCAAACTACAATTTTCAAATTCATAACATATACCTGGACATTGGGTGTTAACTATGCACTTTTAGTGCTGGCAAAATATCTTTCTCTAGTAAACAAGTATTCTAAACAGGATATTTTTGAGCCTATATTTTATCTAATTCAACCCCCTCCCTAATGTTATGTTCATGTTTTAAACAGGTTTTATATAAGATCTTTACTAACAGATATTATGATCACATTTTTGTATTCCAAATATATGATCAGTGATCGTGAATTCTGTAATAGTTAACTAAGACTAAAATTTAGTTACTTTAAAGAAGCTTGAAAGTCAGTCGATTCCAGAAATTTTTTTATTGTTTAGTTCGTCCTGGCGGAGATTTAATGAACAATCCCTTATGAATACATATTAATTGACTAAAACAGACTAATAGACATGACATTAATCAGTTACTTCCTCCTGAACATTTTGCACTGAAATTATAAAAATCAAATACTCCAAACACGCACCTTGTGGATCCTTTTAGCAATTTGAGATACCATATTTACCATCCTTTTAGCAATGCTACTCAACTTTGACAGCTTGGATGAATAATTTTTTATATTTTCCTTTTGACTCATGAAATGCTTAAATGTCATGTAATGAATTAGACAAGCCATTCACTCGCTTGTGTAATCTGTGAAGCCTATATAAAATATATAACATAGGAAATCAATAGGATTACACATCTTGTAAATAAACTGGATTTAAACATGGTATGTGTTTATCTTAAGAGTTATCAAGAATCAACAAATGTACTTTTCTTAATCTTGTTTTAACCCTTACTAAAACAAATTACATTTCCCACAAATATATGCATGCACTGCATGTTAAGTGTACAGAACATATTATATATGAAAATACTTATATCTAAGAATCTTCATTTAATGCCTAAAAATCACGGAGAAAGTGATGCTGACCCATAATTATCTACAAGAAGTATCGATGAAGATCTGGCCCGTATCTCCATCTTCAACTTCCAAGGTGTACAATCGAGTTGAAGTTTGTAAAATTGAATGTTGAAAGATAAGGGTGCCATATCCCTTCATTCCTCATAGACAATTGACTAACAAGAATCTTTGAAGTCTGAAGGGCTTTATAAGAGATTGCATGTGATTAGGTTGTCAGTCTGGAGTCAGATCAGTATATAAACAGTCTACATACTTAAGACTCAGAGAATTTAGAGGGAATAAAATGTAACGCTTTTTATAAAAAGGAATAAAATGTAACACTATTTATCGTATAGATGATTCGTTTGCAAAAATCTAAAAAGAATGTAAAAAAGACTGACCTAATAAGACAAAATTAAATTGTACCAAATATGAAAAAAGCAGAATTGACACTTTTGTTAGCCCTGCAATGTTTTTTTAGCTGAGGTGTTTTGATGACATCATGTCACGCCTCTGAATGTCATGCCTCTGAATGTCACACCTCTAATTTCTCCATTGATTCCTCCAAGAGATGTTCACAAACTCGAGGAAAAGTTGCTTCTATAACCAGTTACATATTCTTTCTATCTCAAAGTTATATAATAATTATTGGTATCATTAAAAAGTATACAGTAAACATCTGTATTACCTCATGACCAGAAATAAACACAGGTGTTTAGTAAAAACATAGCACACGTGAATGTAAAATGAAAATATCAGCGTAGCAATATCAGCATCAATAAAAACAATAATGGTGAATAATTCCTGCAGTAAGTGTTATCTGCTTACTTCAATATTGGCCTTAGGCTGTCTTGTCAGAGACATGAGATATCTAAGAATAATGCTGAATACTGAAGATACATGTAAATGTGTTATTACTTTTAAATGTAAACAGCCCTGCAACCATAAAATAGCCCTGCCCACTTTTTATAGGATTCTCACAGCAATGAATTGTGGAAAATATACCTGTAGAGTTTACACCATTTAAAAACATGTTTTTCACCAGATTTCCACATATAAAGCAACGTGTATGTAAAGACAGTGTACTTACATCATCCCATTTGATGAATTTAGATCCTTTCAATAAGGTTTCGGAGACACAAATCGGTTTTAACTGTACAACATGAACAGCAGGTTTAGCCCCTGCCATTTCTTCTTCTTCACTTGCAAGCTGGCTGCAATATTAGCAGTAGGAACACCACACTTTAGGGTTTGAAAAAATAAAATAATTCGATTGCAACAAGAGTTAACATAAGGTATGCAAATTATTTTCTATCAAATCAATCTAGATTTGACAACCTTATCATATCTTATGCATTGATCAAAATTTTAGCCGTTTTATGCCGTATTTTGTGTCTAAAATATTTATAATATTTTCAAACCCCGTGAAGAGAAAATAAAACATGTTTTGTCACGTGGGGTATCATGTGACTTGGACAAAATGGTAGACGGACTGAAGTTAAATTTTCGTAAAATTGAGGCAATATTCACATTTTATAGTCTGTCTAGGCATTTAAGGTGAAGTATTATGAAGCAGATTTATACTAATTTGTAAATACTTGATTGTGATATTTTGAAAACTCAAACTGTCATGTAATTAAGTCGTATAATGGCGTGTAAACAGCCCCTAATATTTAAATCTCACTCATTCCTCAGTCAGCACTTACTCGACTCTGCAGGGCTCTCACCAGGCTTGAAGATTCCCGAGATTCTCTGGAGTCTAATTTCTTTAGACCCTCTTGTTCCAGAGTCTAATAGCTTTTTCGGAGTCTACAGTAAAACTGAGACTAATATACTCTAAAGGGATTGGAAGCCTCCCTAGACTGTATCCTTCGTCTGAATAAATATTCAGACTGTAAGTCACCTATTGTAAAATGTGGTGTTGTATAAATGTTACAAATAAGTTTGTTAAATGATAAAATGATTACCTTATAAAGTACTTACAATATTATTTTTTCGTATATTGTCCTCTTACTGAAGATATTCATAAAATGTACAGACGCTTCTTGTAGCGAAGCCATTGATTAGGTCAAGCCATTTTGGCAATGCCAATTCTCACGATAAACGAGATTTAGCCAGTGACGTCAGTCTATTTGTAAACAAATAACACGTGGAGCGGACGGAAGCGTGTTGATAAATTCCATTTGTGCGGGAATTTATTAGATCTAGTCATTTATTATCATTATCCCGATTAATTTTCTTCATTTATAGTAAATAGAGCGGAAATATTCATGAAGAAGGCCGAGGTAATCAAGTGGTCATGTGTTGTCAAAGTTCAAAATTTGCATATCTCGTTTGGATCTCGTGATCTCAAACGTCCTTGACATTGATTTCGCGATGTACTTATAAACACATCCAGAAGTTTTGGTGAGTCTGAACATTTCATTATTTTATATCAACTTGTACCCGCCTTATACAAATATTTTTGCTTCTAGTTTAAGATGAACATCTCTTCAACATATTCACCAATTTTCAAGGTGAACATTCTTGTAATAAACGAGAAATTTATGTGCAAAAAATATCACCGAGATTTCCACAGGAAATATATCAATCATAACAGACCGAATATTATATTCGGTCTGTTGGATACATACTAGAAGCCTCCCATTGACCTAAAGTTTAGGTTGCATTGCATGTTCGGAATTTTGCTGCAACACTCACTCAAATGAGTCGCATGTTATTTTTCAAATTTAAATATCTCCTTCCCTACAATGTCTACAAAAATCTTCTCACCAGTCTTTTTTAGGCTCATAAGTTCTTTCTTTCACTCTCAAAACTGGAAGATATAGACAATGTGTGGTAGGAGTGATTCCTGTTTGAAAAATAACATGTGACTCGATTGATGAATGCAGAAAAATTCCGAACATGCACCCTCACTGGTGATCCGCTCGATTACACTGGTTACCTAAACGGTTTGTTTTGGTAACAAAATGTCGGAACGTCAACGGTACGATTTTTCTTTTTTCCTTATTTCACAAGTCATAGGCACAATCCCCACAATATTTTTTCTCACAAACGTGTATCAGTATCATATGTTTTAGAAAATGTATTATATTATGATAAACATGCTTAGATGGACTACATGCTGTTGCGCCATACACATTAGCTGTGGAAATGTAGAGGTTTCCTCAGCTGCCTCCAACTTCCATCAGAGTAGACATCTCAACTAAGGTAATGAGCGGTAAATGCTTGAAACCGACTTGCGACGGTCTATAGTAGGTTTAAAAAGCGCTTTATGGTCGACCAACGCTCACCTTTTCACATCTCCGCTCAAGCTTGAAGAAGGGGTTAAAGGTATGCTAGCTATTGTGAGGGGAGACTTATTGGATACAGGGTGTGTCATGATAATGGTGGAGATGAGGCAAGATGACAAGGGATTACTGGGGCAACCAATTTGCATTTCTTCTCAACCACAGCCAACGAGAGCAACGTTCAGCTTCCCTTCCTAGGGTAATCATTGCTTTCTTGCGCTTGCGAGATGGTAGACCAAGCGACTTCAACATCCAGTCCATAGACTTGGCTGGAAAACCTCTGCAGCCTACTTCCAAAGGGAAACAGTGTGGCTGCCATCCTCTTCGCTTGGCATCAGTTACAATGTCCTCGTATTTCAATTTCTTTAATTCGTGGGATTCTTCTACCCGCTCCTCCCAGGGTACAGTTAACTCAACAAGAATGATGGTCTGCGTTGTTTCTGAGGTGATGATGATGTCTGGCCTCAGAGTGGTGCTGACTACATGCTGGGGGAAAACAAGCTGCTTACCAACATCAACCTTCATAACCCAATCAGATGCTGTATGTAAAATGCCTCTGGATGGCTGGTTAACTGTTGGTTTTGCAGTTGCTTGTCCTGCTTTCACAAATCCGATGGTTAGTGGTTGTGAGGGTGGACTAGTCAGGGAGGGATCAGAGATTGCGACAAAATAGCTTAGAAGACAACAGAATCATCGATTTAATTCCTCACTTAAGTTCCATAAAAACGGTAGGGATTAAAAGTGCAGATCTTAACTATTTTTCGAAATACCGTTTATGTAACTTAGTGAGGAATTGAATCGATGATTCCGCTGTCTTCTGAACTATTTGTTCGCAAATGTGTACATTTTCTTAAACATGATACTGATACACGTTTGTGATAAAAATGTGAGAATTCTGCCTACAAACTGTACGTGAAATGAGGAAAAAAGAAAAATCGTACCTTCGACGTTCTGACATTTTGTTACCGAAATGGTTCCAGCGTAATCGAGTGGATCACCAGTAAACCCTGGCCTTAAATGCTTGGAACAACTTTGAATCTAAAAAATAAACAAAGAACCATATTGAAACAGTTTATGTAAAAATAGAAACATTTATACATGTACATGGCCTAAGTTTTGTACATTTTTGTTTGTTTTGTAGTTTGGCTATCATATGTGTGTCCTCTTATATTTTTATGCTTCTCTGCTGCCATGTTAATTTTTTTCGAAAATAAAATAAATTACCTATATTACACAAGGCCATAGCTTTGCTGCACATTATACATATCTATCTGAAATATACAAAAGTTAGGACTTGTACATACAGGTATGTTTCTATGTTTTCATATACTGTTGCAATATAGTCATTTGATTGCTTATTTTTTAAATACAATTTAAAATTTTACTGTAAAGTGTTTTTTCTGGAGTCTAATTTTACATTTTTGTCACATTAATTGTCGTAAACTCTTGAGAAAATACATAAAGCTGGATGCAAACAAGGAATAGGAAGTCAGAAACCTTTTAGAAATATATATTGTGATTAAAATAGGAAGATATAGAGGCTCTTATATGAGTACCTGTGCAAGATCGTCCATTCTTGATGAGCTTTGATAATTCTTCTTTATCGAGTCGAAGACGAGATAAAGAAACATTATCAAAGCGAGTCAAGAATGGACGATATTGCACAGGTATGAGTACAAGAAAGTTTTTCTCATATGACTCTGTATTATGCCATATTTTCACCATTTTACCATAAAACTGAATGAAAAATAGCTTCAAATTAATTGAACTTCATCTTTCAATTGTTATGACGTCATAACAAAATTGAAGAAAATACATAGATACACGTGGTAACAAAACTCCATTGTTATGACGTCACAACTTAGTTTTGTAGAATCAGCATGGATACGCATAGCAACGGTCTGTCCGTTGCCATGTTGTTGATGTTTATAGACCAGTGATGTCACAAGTAAATCTCATCTTGCACGTGTGACTTTTTAGGATGAAAGATGGCAATATCTTGCATGGGGTAAAGATGGCTGTATCTTTGTTAGTCATATGAGAAAATCTTATTTTGAAAAGTGGAATATCTCTGATCTCGCATTGGGGGAGTAGTCGGGATGCTGCGAAAAATCCAGAGTCTTAAAATTTCCTGGTGAGAACCCTTCTCTGTATACCTTATTTTTTACAAGAAAATAACATGTGCAGGTATAGCAATTTTCTCCCAAAATGATATTTTCCAGCTGTACCTTAGGGTTCCCAGTCACGGATTGTGGGAGAAGTCCTACTATTGGCTGATTTATAATAGTAAAATTCTCCTTTCATATTTTCTTGGATACGGCACTGTGCGTCTCGTATGTGTCGCATGATATAATTGAATCTGTGTTATTGCAAAACCAAACGACTGTGATAATTTTGCAATCATGGGTTGTCATTTTGAATTTTCAATATTTCTTGTGATTCCATGAAGACCACTCACTAATTTTTGTTAGGCCTTATATTTGGTACCATATGTGGATTAGCATGCTTATAATTCTTCTAATATCAACTCTAACACATAACATATTTTTTGCTTCTTTAGATAGAACGTTGTTAGAGTAGATTCACACACATAGTCGGTGTTTTGCTAGACATAAGCATAATGAGTGGTAAAGTGCCTATTCTCAATACAGCAATGACAGGTAATATAAATTTTATAACATGATGCATATTTGTTCAGTGATATCTTCATTATTAGACAAAATGAGTGTTGCACCCATGCCACTTGAGGATTTTGCACCATGTTTGCAGAAAAGGTCCTTGAAGATGCACTGTATTGCAATAACTATATAGTATTTTTAATGCTTATTGATAATTTAACATTAAGTATGTTTAATGCTTATTGATAATTTAACATTAAGTTGTTTTTTTAATGCTTATTTATTATTTTATTCCTTATATTTAGAATTTTTGATGAATTTTATCAAGGGTTTTGGTTCTTATATGTGATTTGTTATTTTATAAATCATTAAATTAATAATTGGTTATTAAATATTGCTTTATTAAAGGATTCATGTCACTGTCCCCTCAGATGAAGTTAAAACGGCTGGGGTATCTTGCAGTTGCTCTTGTGACAGGTGAGAAAAATGTTTGATTAACTTCATAAACAAAGTTTTAGTTTGATCTTATGTTAAAGCAGGAAGGTGGTATTCATGAAATTGTTAAACGAGTTTCTCCTCCAATCCACCTGTTATTCTAGAATTTTTTTTTGTTATGTTTGTGGATATATATTGACATGAATTAATAGAGATGTCTCAAATGTACAACATAGGATAATTTTAGTTTCAACAAAATATGGAGATTGTAAAAAATTGAAAACAGTCATTTCAAAAAGCATGCCTATGCTTTAGGATCCTAATTTTATCATCTGAAAAAATATTCTGGAGGTATTGAAGAGTAAAGATGCAAAAATGATCAAATTGATTTTTATAAATTATTATTTCTGACAACCTAAATGAGAATGGTTATGAAATGAAGTTAGAACTTATTAGAAGTATGTAAAATAGTAATATTGTGACATTTTAAGATATGGTAGACCCTCTTAACCTCTTAACTCATCCCTTATCTATATTGCACTTTTACTATAGCATGAACATGTGTTTGAGTTAGAGCATCTTCAAAAGTAAAATGTAATGATTAGTCAATAAAATGTGTATGCATAGCATAGCAATTAATGATCACATTAATTTTAATTTAGCTTTAGTGAACACTTTAATTATATTAATATATATTATTACCACCTTGCAGGGCCTGTTCTAGGGGTTTTAGTACTAGTTGAGAAGGCATTTAAATTGCTATATTGACGTGAGCAATATTGTGTCGGGCGTTAATGACTTTAGTCGGGCAATAATGACATTATCCGCCCGGCTATGTTTCCCGGGAAAAGTGATATCGTTCAGTGCATAAGATTTTCTATTTCAAATTTGCTATTTCAGCCCTGGTCATTAACGGTGGTAATAATAGTAATAACGTCATTTCTGCGGGCAAAATAGGGCCCTTGGTCCAATATTTCACTATATTGCCCTTTGAAATGACGTTATTGTACTATTATCATACATTGAAGCAGCATTTATTTGAGTGCCACAACCATAGCAACTTTAATATTAAGTTTTATGATCGATTTCAGGAATTTTCTTTTTTGGCATGAAAAGGATGAAGTCGAAGATGAAACTGATATCCTACAAAGGCCCACCAAAGCGCTACACTGTTCATCTTCTTTCTGTTACCATTACGCAGGAGGACTATACTTTAAAACTTACTGATGCCCAAGGTCATTGCATACTCAATGTCAAGCTTGGGACATCTATTCCAAGGGGTATAATGTTTACCGCAACAGAGAGAGATGGCACTTTAGAAATAACATGGCCAGAAGTTGCCACAGTTGAAATAGTAAGCACATTAGATGGGGACTTTACAGTCTATGAAATCCATTGGAAAGGAATGGACTCAACATGTAGCCTTAGTGATGAGATTGATATGTCAGGGGCACATTGGTATGGTGGCGCCCAGGTTATGAACAATCAATGGCCAATCAACACTTACGACAGGCCAACAACTGCCTACATCGCTGGAGATTCCTACCAAGATCAATATGGCGGGGTTCAAGAACGTTATTTTCTATCATCCAATAATGCTGCAATTTTTGTCGACAATGACGTTCCATTATTTGTCGGAATTAACCACAATGGAAACAAAATTTTGGAACTGAAAGCCGAGGTAGCTGCTCCTTATAAAAATGTTAATAACTCTCGAAATTGGTTAAGATACAGAGTTATTCACGGACCAGATATGCAAAAAATACAGTCTTATGTGGCGGGAAAGTTCTGGAAATGCCCTGAAGGTATTCCTGATGAGCGCATGTTGACATCCCCGATTTGGTCAACTTGGGCCAAGTACAAGAAGAATATTAATGATGATGTCATACAAAGCTTTGCTGATGAGATTATTGCAAATAAGTTCAGGTATGGAATTTTCTAATGTTACTAAAACACACTGACAAAATGTTGGTACAGTAAAGTCTGTGTACAATGTAAGTTTCACAATAAAATGATACAATATGTCCTCAGAATGCAGGATTAAAAGAGTGAAAGAATTGAGTGGATGATTTCTGAAGCCCTTCATTTGGAGGATGAAATGACACAATTTCAATAAGTTTAAAATTGTAACTAAGCACTGATGGACAAATAAATCGCTCAAGATACTGGCACTTACAGCCTTTTTGTATTTCTCTATACATGTACATGTTAATTTATTTCAGCCACTCACAAATAGAGATAGATGATGAATGGACTCCAAAGTATGGAGATATGCAGTTTGAAACCACCAAGTTCCCACAAGCTAAACAAACCATAGAAACCCTTAAAGCCAAGGGGTTCAGAGTCACAGTATGGGTGCATCCATTTGCCAGTTTGACATCCCAGCGAGCACGGAAGGGATTCACCAAGGGTTACTTCGTGAAAAACAAAGGGCTTTCAATCCCAGGGATTTCTTTCTGGTGGAATGGCGTGGGTCTTATCCTAGACACAACCAATCCAGAAGCTGTTGAGTATTTCACCAAAACGATGAAAAGTCTACAAACGGATTATGGCGTACATTCCTTCAAGTTTGACGCTGGGGAAGTGAACTGGTTACCAAGGTTTTATTCCACTCATATCCAAATGGCAAACCCAAATGAATACACTACACAATTTGCAGAGATGGCTTATAAATGCGACACAACCTTGCGCCTACAAGAGGTTAGAGTCGGTGTCAGGACGCAACATTTGCCGATTGTTGTACGTATGATGGATAAAGAGTCTAACTGGAATGATAACAATGGACTCAAGACGCTCATTCCTCATGCGCTGCTCTTTGGAATTATAGGGTAAGTACAATGTACGCATAATTTATAATTGGATTCAGTTTTTACACCAATATTTCATTATGGAGGCAATAGCAACCATTTCTCATAAGATACATGACAAACATGTAGTGCCTTCTCTTTGAAATCCATCATCAGGCCTCCTAGATTTCCATTAACGTGAACATCATTTCTGACATCGCGAACTACGTTCCTTCCACTCGAACCCGACCTCACACAATATTTCTCCACTCACGTACAGAGGTACAAGTGGTTCGCGAGCACGGATCTCTGTGTGCAAGTGAAGAAATATGTTCAGGAGCAGGGAAATAGTGGTGCGCGACTAAAGATTTTACGTTTGTGATGTGAGAATCATGGTTCAAGTGCAAGGAATGAATAAGTTCACGATGTCAGAACTGATGTTCGCGTTGATGGAAGTCTAGGAGGCCTGATCATGAACTGTTCAATTATTTACTGGGTTTAGTTTTGCTAACGTGCTTTCTGATTTTTATTATGGCACCACCACTAGTGGTAGTCTCCAACTCGTTTTGTGGATGGTGTTCAGCATTTGGTGTTTGACAGTTGCATGTTAATGCCTCATATTTATTGTCTTGCTTCATTGTATTGTATTGTATTGTATTCAATGATCTTCCAGCGTTAAAGCAACACAAGTCAATGCAGCACCCACTTGGATCATTTGGTCCAACTTGTTAGAATTTTGAGAATGAGAAATGGCATATACTCGAGAAAACAAATCCCAAAGAGAAAACTTCATGGTATTGTTGTATAATATTATATTGTGTCATTGTAGTGTATTGTCTTGTTTTTGATTGTATCAGATAATAATCATAATTAAAATCTTATATATCTTCAGGTATCCATTTGTACTACCAGATATGATAGGTGGAAATGCCTACTCTGGGATGTGGGGAATCCATGGGACATCTTACCCTGAAAAGGAACTTTTCATTAGATGGCTACAGGTGAGGTTCTTAGGGGGTCAGTTGAGATATTATATAAATATGGTAAAAACAAGGCTTTCATTGAAGCAATCTTGATAAATAACCATCCCAACGAGGTATGCTTTATAATATTCCCAAGAGTTTCATTTTCATAAAGAGTTAATTGTATGACATCATTTGGGGGATATTGTTTCTTGCCCTGTTTGCAGTTCTCTATTACCCCCTGGAAGTATAACTCTAATGTGTGACTTAATATTTCTAACCACTTCCTATTCCAGGCAAATGTTTTCCTCCCTTGTATGCAATTCTCCATTACCCCCTGGCAGTATGATGAAGAGACAGTTAAAATAGCACGTTCAATGGTGAGTCATTTTATTATGTCACAACCACAAGTAGTGACATATTCGTATGGTCCACTTTTTGTGGATGGGGTTTGATGGTTGGTGTTGGGCAGTTGATGTATGGTGTTCAGCATTCGACATATGTAACAAGTGGCAGGTGGTGATATTTTGCATGTCATTGCCTTGTTTACTCATGAAAGGTAGTGAGTAGTAAGCAAAATTTGTTGCTTGACACAATACAGTTGCCAGTTGAGGAAAAAAGTATACATAATATGGATGTACATGTATTCTTCATTGAAGTTATTTTCTGGAATGTATTTAATAAGGTTTTTATTCTTAGGTGCAAAAGTAAATGTATCTAATGTGTGGTTGAGGAATAAATATGTATATGCAGTAAATTATATTATAAGCCTTATTTTTAGGCCCAAGATGAAAGAATTTCCAAGAAAAAGTTTGGGGGCAAAAGTGTTTCCTCTGAACATGACTTTACGGGTCAGAATAGATGTACAATACATGTATATAAAATAATATACATGTTCATTTTCTTTGATTTTATGTTTTAAGGTTGAGTTACATGAGAAGTTTGCTCCCACAATTATCCGGCTTGCCAAGGAAGCCACACAAACAGGTATGTACTTGTAATTTACTGTATTCATGCAAAATTATGAACAGACCTTCAAGTCAAATTCCCAGGCATATTTTACTTCTTTTTACATATTTTATATTCTTTTCTAATGCATGTTTCTTAATGTCTATAATTGGTGACAGACATTCTCTCTAAAATGTTTGCATGCAAGGGCATAGCCAAGATATACAATTATTTGGGAAGGCAAGTTTGAGTTAAACGCTAAAAAATGCTGTTGTATTTCTTCATTTTCAAAGTTCCAAGAAAAAAGTCTGAATTTTTAATCTATAAATTTTGGTGAGGCGGTTGCCTCGCTTGCCTCATGTCTGGCTACGCCCATTTTGGAAATTCAGTGTGTGTTCTTCAGTACAAATATATTAATTTGTCTTCATGCAAACGCATATCTAAATGTTGCTCATATTTCTGTACACACATCACATTTTTTAACATTGCAGGAGCCCCAATAGTGAGACCCCTCTGGTGGATTGCCCCTGACGACCCCACATCACAAGAAATAGATTCAGAGTTTCTTCTGGGAAATGATATCCTCTCTGCACCCATCCTTGAGAAAGGCGCAACTTCTCGTTCTATATATCTGCCACCTGGTGTCTGGGAGGATGAACTAAAGGGCGGAATTCTTGCTGGTGGAAAATGGTACCATAACTATGCAGTTGGGCTGCACGAACTTGCTTATTTCACCAGACAGTAATGATAGTACACGACAATAATGATTTTCTGAGAAAAAGGTGTGATATTTCTAACTGTGTGTCTTGTTACATACATTGGTGATTCTCAACTAAAAGATGGAAAATTTAAGAAGTTGAGAAAAACTTATACCACAAGGACCCCATTTTCAAGTAGACCAATAGGATCCTGGTCTCATAAAAATAATTTGGAAAGTTAATTTATATTTCAGTACATTCCAGAGACTGACATTATTTATCTGTAATGCAATGAAAATGCAATAGGTCTATTGAAAATGAAAACTGACGGTTCTTAAATTTATATATCATTGGGTGACCCAAATAAATGCAACCTTCTATTTTTGAAAAACTATGTCAAATGTGATGGAATATATTATTTTTTGAGTCACCCTGTACTTAAGTGTTGAAATGATGAAATTGTTGTCAGTTTTGACCTAGTTTTTGCAGAGATTTCTTGCAAAAATGCATACTTTTCAAGTGATTCTGTATAAAATCTTTTGTAATGCATGAAAAGAATTGAATCCCTGGACTCAATGCATTGCGGCTGATATATTCCACTCATCATCTTTCATAAATTGATTACAGCAATAAAAGAAATATATGATATAAATTTTGATTTTCTTTTTTTCATGTTCCACTGATGGAGTTAATGCTTCAGAAAGTGATGGCATCAGTACAGTTCTATGAATGTAAAAGTATTAGGATGGATGATAAAACTGTACTATAACGTTTTGAATGTTTCTTTGACTGATTTTGTGCTACATTTAGTCTTATACATCCCAAGTGACATCTATAATGCAGTAGAGTCAAACTGGAATTAGCTGTAAGAATCGAGACATAACAAATATGAGTAAGTCTAATCTCTGCAATAACGATTAAAAGGAGTAAATAAAAAAGCATTCAAAGTTCCCTTCCAGCACACCCAAGGATGAGCAAAGTATCCTATGTGTTACTTTGGGTTTCTTCTTTAATATAAATGATGAGTTGAGTTCTTAGAAATTAAAGCTACAGCAATGCAGTCTATGACACTTGGGATATTTATAGTCAAAATGTGTAGTCGTGACATCACTTCCTGTCAGATTTCTTGCAAGATATGTAGCTTCAAAATTTCTCCTGTTCCCCATAATCATATTCCGTAGATTTAGCTATCATATTCCTTCATATGTTAATGTTCTACATATGACTATGTTAATACCCTTGATATATTAACTTTCTTGATATGTCATTGTTCTTGATATGTCAATGTTCTACATATGTCAGTGCCCTTGATATGTCAATTTTCTTGATATGACATTGTTCTTGATATGTCAATTTTCTACATATGTCATTGCCCTTGATATGCCATTTTTCTTGATATGTCAAGTTCTGTTATCTTCTATATATGTCAGTGCCCTTGATATGTCAATTTTCTTATATGTTGTTATTCTACATACTGTATGTCAATTTTCTTGATATGTCATTGTTCTAGATATGTCAACGTTCTCTAGATATTATGTCAACATTAATATCCTGGATATGTCAATATTCTAGATATCTCAATATTCTACAGGGTGTAAAATAAATACATTCTCCCCCTTAATTTCAAGGGAATGAACTTTTGTGCATAAAAGTGCATCTAGTTGAGCTAGTCATCTGAAACTTCTTGTGGAGTTGCTCTGTGAAGCCTTGTTATGATGTGCTCAAGAACAATTCAGATTTGATGCATAGAAAGAAGTTATCCAACATTATGTGGATAAAAGCTAAGGAGGGGAGAACATATTTATTTGACACCCTGTAGAAGTTTCATCGTTCTAGACATGTCATTCACATTTCGATACCCATATGTCCCCTTTGTCTTGAACTCTCGAGAAGCCTACACTGTGTCTAAGTTCTCGAAATGTCATTGTTTCAGATATGTCATTGTTTCAGATAGGTCATTGTTTCAGATATGCCAGTTTCTAAATATGTCAACATTCTAGATATTCCATTGTCCCAGATATGTCATTGTTCTAAATATGTTGTTCTCGATATCTCAATGGTCTCGATATGTCACTGTACTAATACATTAAAAAATAAAGAAACTGAAAGATATTAATATTTGCAGAATTTATTTGGTGATTTTTTAGTATAAAACTATACACTCTAAAAAATATAATTTTCTCAAGGAGAATCTTAGTGTATGTCGATAACTGTTCAATAAGTTCAAATTGAAATGACCTTTTTTATGCCTGTTGTTCTTGATAACCATAGTAACAGTACTTATACTTCATTAATCCTTTAAACAAAGGTACAATTAGCATTCTTTGTCAGTGCAAGATAAACTTCATTGTAACTTACATGAGTTTGGTATGCTATCACCATTTATGTGAGAATTTTACGAGTCATAGCATATCTACTTCTTCAACCCGGGACATGGTGAGATTGTGCCATACAGGTGTGATGTCATACATTCTGGATTATTCTTAGTTTAACGTTGAAAATTATCAGCTATATTAAAGTGTAATATAATATTAATGAATTGTCCACCAACATAATAATGTTAACATGTACAATATGAAAGTTCTCTAGGTCTAGAGAATTCCTAATTTTAGGACTCATACAGAAGATAGATCAATAATTTTCTCAAGTGGATTGTTTTTTACACCTTTCCCATTGGTTTCTGTGTAAATGTTACTGAGCAGTCAATATGGTATAACGAAAATGGGACTTCTGCGCATGTTAAAATTTTTCGTCAAAACTCAACTTTTGTTCAAGTTGATACGATTGTCTTTCGAACTAGAGACTTACCTCATTCGAAAGATCATAAAAGACTTTATCTATACTGAAAATCTTAGATCCAAACATAGTAGAATACGCCGTCAGTCCGCATTTGATTTTTTGAAGTGAGTTTCGTAAATCGTCAGATTTCTCCGACTGATATCGGGTTATCTCAAATTGGTTCGTTTATAAATACGAATTTCTTTACCGTTGTAAGGCGCATGCGCAAAATTGATTTATAAAACGTTATTGGTTGATGGTTTTTCTCCTGAGCATGCGTGAAGTCTGATGACACTTATGACGAAGACCGGAGCAAACATTACTAGCTCTCGAACGAAATTCCAAGATTCAGATCATTTCGCCGTGTTTGCTAAGCGTGTATACGTGAATGACAAGCTGTTTTGAGTAGATCAGGTACCTGTTTTAGACACAACATTGATTTAGCTTGACATTGATGTGCTCATTGGCACTTTTGAGCATGTTAATACAAGTTTTTACACTCTTAGCACGAGACGGGTTTTCGAAAAATCTGTTATCTGATTCACTCGATTATCGTATGGATATGTATTTCTGCTGACATTTCAACACCACATCACATAGAATTACGATGCAGAATGATAATAAAACACAAAACAACGACTAAATTCCACTTGTTATTTCACAGGAGGTAAAAATGCAAACTGCCTAGATTATTTGTAAGGGTCGTCAGACATCGGATTGGCCTCCATATTTGAAATGAAAATATCACTAAATAGAGGTCTGCGCATGTCTCAACATTTCGACTGTGAGTAAAACTTCAAATACTCTATATAAATCAAAGTAACATCACATTTCCTCAAAAGCTTTTAAATATTATTAATATATGATATTAATTCATCTTCGGAGATCTTTAAAGTTGTTTTTACATGTTTAGGTGTGCAGTTTAAATTTACTAATTTCTTTGCCATCTATCGTGCGTCATATTAGAGCCATTAATGCCAGATTTTCCTGATATTGTCTCTTCTGTCTAATGTCCTCCAAGAATGATTATGTCACAATACTGTCCTCCAAGAATGATGATGTCACAATACTGTCCTCCAAGAATGATGATGTCACAATACTGTCCTCCAAGAATGATGATGTCACGATGCTGTCTACTCTGTCCACCTATGGGCACAATTGGAATTTGTACAGACATAGTAGAGCCGCATTCCTTGCTGAAAACAAAAATATCAAACAACAAATAACCGAGGAGCAGTGCCATTACTGGTAAAAGAGTGGCATCATCACAGTGCATTATGATTTCATAAAGAACTAAACAATGTCATTTTTTATAAAGGAGTGATAGTATATTTAAATTACAATAAAGAACCCTATATCATTCTTTATTGGATTTAAAAGCATCCATTTAGTACTAAACCCTCTTGTTAATGTACTCAGGTTCTGCCCTCATATATTATGTGTATATGTTAGTACATCCACTCATGCTTTTAAATTTCCAATAAGGAATGATACAGGATTTTTTATGAATTAAATGTTTTACAGTTAGTATGTCCATACCTCTGCACTAGTTGATTGAGATTGGAAAAACACTGCCTCTTTGTGATGGCACTTGGGACATGGATGGTCTTCTGTCCTGGGTAGTGTGGGGTCAGCTATCACATCAGCAATGATTTGAGTCAACTCACTGCAAATATACAATGATCTGAGTCAACTCACTACAAATATACAATGATCTGAGTCAACTCATTGCAAATATACAATGATCTGACCCAACTCACTATAAATATACAATGATCTGAGCCAACTCACTTCAAATATACAATGATCTGAGTCAACTCACTGCAAATATACAATGATCTGAGTCGACTCACTGCAAATATACACTAAGCTGAGTCAATTCACTGCAAATATACAATGATCGGAGTCAACTCACTGCAAATATACAATAAGCTGTAATATATCTGTTCATGTACTTACTCAACATCGTGGGTGATTTTGTTGACATATACAGGGTGTCCCGAAAGTATGCCCCCCCCCCCTAGGCAGACATATACCAGTGTCGTCATAGTATGTGTCATATATCATTTTAAAGCTTATCCAAAGTTAAATTCTTTTCAGGTAGGATGGATATTGAGTTGGAAAAAGAGAATGGTGAGGGTAGAAACTCTAAGGAAACTCTTCTAAAGTGCCTTAACAGGTTTTAAGAGGGTTATAAAATTCCACACCCCTACTTGAAGGGCTTTTAAGGTCATATCTGAAAATAATTGCTGCTGTTAACATGGCCAAGGGGGGACTCATTGACTAGTAATTTGGTGTAAAATTGAACTTCATAAACACTAACTTTTAAAATGACTGTAACTTTTCCCATTTGGGAGTTAAACCATGATACTTGGCAAATCAATGTAACTTTGGATACGCTTTAAAATGATATATGGCACATACTATGGGGACAGTGGAATATATCTGCCTAGGGGGGCCCATACTTTCGGGACACCCTGTATACATGGGTTTTATAACTGTACATGTACTTACTCAACATCGTGGGTGATTTTGTTGACATATATACATGGGTTCTCTGCTTCTTGCTGGTAGTCACAGTTCCGACACTAAAAATAAATAAAATAGGAAATTATATCAAACTGAAGCCATTTCACCACGTAAACCAAACAAGGCCCAATAAATACAGTGAGAAAACTGTCCATAAAAAAAAGACCAATTAAATAAAAGAAGCCCCAAAGATCCACTCAACAATAAACTACATAAAGAACCAGTGTCAAATGACCATATACAATCATCATACAGCCATGAGTATAATCCAACATCACAAAACCATGGAACATACTGAAGACACAACAGATGTTGAAGATTTAGTGCCCATACCATTTGTGCTACATGCAATTGGAAAGAGCTTTCAATTTGACAACCGTTTTAAAAGATAATAAAAGATAAAAACTCATTCTCACACCCTTGTAACATATATTCTGGTATTTTATATAAGGCAAGTGCGATTCCATCCTTATTTGGAAGGTTCATGATATGAGTAGTTCTTTTTCATGATATCAGAATTAATTACAGTACAGTTTGTATTTACATTCATGGGTCAGTTCATATTCCCCATTCTGTGTGTGTATTCCCCATTTTGTGTGTGTCCCCATTTTGTGTGTGTATTCCCCATTTTGTGTGTGTATTCCCCATGTTGTGTGTGTATTCCCCATTTTGTATGTGTATTTCCCATTTTGTGTGTTTATTCACCATTGTATTCACCATTTTGTGTGTGTATTCTCCATTTTGTGTGTGTATTCACCATTTTGTGTGTGTATTCACCATTTTGTGTATGTTTCATCCAATTATACTTACAGCATAGAGTAATATTCTATTTTCCTTGTCTTCTTTTGGATACAGCATATTGTTACTAAAACAAACAAAAAAAAGTATTTCAAGTCTGACAGCGTAATCTATCCTATACCTATAATTCACACATAGCTAGGCAAGGTGTGTCAAATTCCAGCCAATCAGAACACGCTATTTCACGTAACTGTATTATGTTATATAACAGGTGCTTTGATAGGTGCTTTGAAAATTTGAATTCATTCCTAGAAATAGATAAAAACTGATTTGAAAAGCGATCCATTTTCCTTTTTATGACCACAATTTATATTTCAGACAATTTTTCAAAATTTCATCATTTGGGCACATTTTATGAAAAAATCAAAATATTCTGTTTGGAGACCTTTCCAAAAATCCAACTTTTAAGGTTATTCTTTCCAAACAACATTTTTGAAAAAAATGCTATACCTGCCCATGTTATTTCTGGTACAAAATAAAGTATGACATATGTATGAAGGCATGTGTATATTTCCTTGCCTTTTTCAGGAAAGTATCATTACATTGTCTTCTCTAAGTAAACCTAGTAAGTGGTCAATGGAAGTGGAAAAAGCAAGTAATACACACATGCCTTCACACTTAACTTTGTACCAGAAATAACATGTGCAGGTATAAGAATTTTTTCAAAAATGTTGTTTGGAAAGAATAACCTTAAATATTTTTCAGTCACAATTTCAGGGGACTGGAAAATCAATTTCATAATGTTTAGGGTCATTCTGACCGGACCATTGTGAATCCCAGTCATGTATATTGATAAGTGGGAGTAGTAAAATGAAATGTCGTAGATCTGGGTCAGATGATGTCCAGTGCATAAAGCGGGAAAACAGGAAATGAAAAAACATGTGAATTTTTTAGTTTTTTAACTGAGATAACAGAGTTCTGTTTTGACCTCCAGTCAGTTTAACTAGTTCCACATATCATTTACATGATGGGGAAAACAATGTCCATGGTCAGAATGACCCTAAACATGATGAAATACCCTTTTTAGCCCTCTGAAAATGTGACTGAAAAATAGCTAAAAGTAGGTGCTCATGAAAGGTCACTAAACAGAATCTTACTCGAGTCTCTAGCCAAGTTCTTGACTAGAGGTAATTTCATCTGTAATACTGTGAACTCCATTTGAAAAAAGCTGGCCCGTGTCATAAATTTATTGAATATTCTAAAAATCGACAGATATATGAATCATTAATTAAAATAGGACCGGCTCAGCTCCTTGATGAGATATTGCATGATTTTGTCAGGATTTCGTCTAAAATTGAAACAAAATGGCTCCAAGAAAAATGGCGAGATTCGAAAATGTCGTTAATGTCTGACATTAGTAACTGGCTGTAAATTCTAAGCAATCCAGAAGATGTGAACTAATACATTGATCACTTCATGTGTGTTTTGGAATTTTTGGTGAGGTAATACAACTAAAACTTGCAATTCAAATTGTGATTAGTGTTGTCGCGATTAATCGATACAACGCGATATACATTGCCAAAGCCGATGTCTGAAACAAAACATTGATGTTTTTAAAAAAAATTAATTTGCTAAAAGTCACCCTTTCTTATCTTATTTTGACACAAATCGCTTACCTTTCTCATGTCTTATTTCATTTTCCAATGTTTTCTGATGTTCTTTTGCATTAAAACTGTTTTAGCTAGTTGAAATGAACTACTAATCTAAAAAATTTTACTTCACTTTCATTTCACCGTTACTAGAAGTTCCCGGATGTACCAGCGTACTCTTATTGATTTGTTCTGTTCGGTATTTTAGTGCATAGGGTTCGGTATTTCAGTGCACTCTTCTCTGACTTTTTCTCGATGTACATCGCGATGTGCATCGATGTTTACTACTGAAAATTGCTGATGCATCGATGTATGATTATGGCACATCGCGACAACACTAATTGTGATGTGGAAAAATGGCGGACATTTGATTTCAAATTTTATGATTATGACATGACCCGTTATTCACGCAGGAATATATCTTTGGACGAAGGCCACAATACAGTGGCCTTAGAAGAAGGTAAACAGAATCTTTTGATTTTTTCAGAAATGTATCCAATATATTGCTTTAAATGATACAATCTTTGAAATTTTAAAAAGTTGTCTGAAACAATAGACTAATGGATGTACTATAAAAAGGAAAATAGATCGCTTTTCAATTCAGTTTTTTCATATTTTTCTTTTTCTAAGAATGATATCAAATTTTCTAAAATTGTATCATTTAAAATGCTGATATTGATGTGTACCTAAGATTTTCATATGGTTGAAAAGTGGCACAAAGAAAGTCTGCCTAACAAATAAAAATTTAGAGTGGGCGATAATATGTGAATTTGAAATCGTTACCATTCTTGACAGAATTTTATGCCTACAAATCCAGGCCCATCGTCTTGCGCTTCGATTAGATCCATTTTCCTAACACCGTTGTATGTCTTTATGTGAATATTTATTGTTCTTCTCTCTAATATATCAGTAATTGTAAAAACAAACTACCATAAGTTGAAAAATGATCAATTTCAGGTGGACTGAATCTAGATTTCAAACTTTCACCCGAAAAGAAAAAGTCAAATCAAAAATAACTTTGATCTTTTGGAACAGTTTCTGAGGTAGAATATTCAGATATTTTCTATTCTATAATTAACTTGGGAGGTTACGCTAACAAACGTGTTTAAGGATGCTCATTAATCAAAGCATTTCTATTTTTTTACATTCCCAATGCGCATGAACGGAAGTTTATGAAAAATTCACAAAATAATAATTTTCAGAAATGTCTATCTAAAATGCTTTATATATCAATAATCGGGACAATATGCCGGATAAATGACACTTAAAGGTTGAATATGTGTGCCGCAGCATCTGTTGATATATCCAGGAGAAATCCAACGGATGATTTTGAGCTACTACAACGAGTTGGAAGTGGGACCTATGGGGACGTTTACAAGGTTTGTAAAATTTTATAGGAAATGACTCCTTCATCCAATAGAAATGACTGTTGCCAGTGTGTGCTTGACTATAACACTGTTACAAAAGTGAAGCTATACTATAGTTGATTAAAAATGTGGTTCTCAAATCAAATACATCAAGTACATTCAGGCCCGTAGCCAGAATTTGACAAGGAGGTTCACTTTTTGAAAAATTACAGGGGGGTTCACTTGTGATAATTTTGGTTCATAAATGGCCAAAATCACTCAGATTGGTGAAAAACTGCATGATTTTGAAAGATTTTTTGGCCTGACATTATACATACATTTACATGTACTTAAATGTTTTCAGCCCGAATCAGGAACGTTCGATTTTGTCCCCATTTCAAGAGAAGTAATAATAGCGCTTTAATTTCCTTGGGGCATGGCAACTTTGTCAACAATTTGTAACAACCATAAAAAATGTATAAGAACATACACCTGTTTTGCATGAAATATGTTTGAAATCAAAGAATTTCCTCCAAATTACATCCTTCATACATGGGCGATACAAATTTGTTTGCCATCTGCATTGGTATGTTGGAAACTATACCTGCCTTGGAAGTTTAATATATACATGAGCTTGAACATGACAGAGTCTAACATAAAATGTATACTTGGATTGTATGCAGTAGGCAAGATAAATTGCAATGATCTCCCAAGGATTTTCTCGTTGAGGATTGCTGCTTGTTTCACTCACATCTTCCCATATTCTTTCTCATTTACTAAAATTAAGTAAAACAGTTTGAAATTTGCAAATATTGTATCAAGCTTGAATATGTGCTCACAATATCAGTGTCATCCTTGGATGTGCATTCCCCATTTTACATTCTGTCTAAAAAGAGTGTAACCTTTTTTGGCCCAATCTGTATATCTTGTTCATATTGATGTAGATAATAACACAATGTTTCTCAAAAGCACATGATAACATTAGTGATAACATGCAATACCAATTATACTACACCTACATACTTGTTCTTCATTTCCTTGTTTCCCGAAGCTGATTGCATCGTCTCTCATTCATGTATGCCATACAGTATCTATATGTATGCTTATGTACAAAATGTTGAAAATTTTAATGCCACTGTCCTTAATTGAGTTGTCTTATCTAGTCCTATAAGTTGTTTTCTATTAATCAATGTTTTTATTTCCTTTTAATGGCCCGGGAATGAGGTTTTCAATATAAAACCTTGCTCAAAATAAGTTTTTGGTCTTCAGATCTGTCAAATCTGTTCAGTATTTTGGGCCATGGGAGTAACTTTTTTTACCATCTTTAGATTTATTTTTTTATGCTTGTCAAGTATTTTAATACTGGCATGGTATGTAGGATTATCATGTAAATATCCCCAAAATATGCTTGAATCTTAGTCAACATTCAAATTTGTGTAATAAAAAACATTCTGCATATTAAGCCAATTGTACCATTTTTATGGGAAATGCAGATTACCCACATTTACTGTTGTTCCTTAGCAACAGCTTTGACCTTGTCAGCGATGTTCAGTGAAATGTCCCTCCTCCTACCCTCCTCCTCTGGGGTGTCATATTTGGTACATGGGTTTTATTTCTCTTTAATGTGTTGTATGTACATGTATGTGCCTTTATTGCCCTTTATGAAAAAGGAGATACATGAACATGAAGAAGAGGTAAAAGTATATTAACAAGCAGACAACAACCCTTTGTTGACTAATGCCAAACTACCATGTTGACATCACCAATCTGTATTCACAGAACCATAATGATAATTATACTGTAAATGAATCAGATGGTTGACCTGGTTGACCTTGCGGGTTCACGCTGACTATCCATGTTTTATCAGTTTTTTCGTCAAACTTAACATTTCATGTAACATGGTCTTTGAGTGGTATTTACATTTCTAAGTATCGTTTTAACATATATATAATTCGAACATGGCTGTATTCATGCCTTCTATAAACTGTGAACAAAGTCAATGCTTCAGCTGGGTTATATTCGAGATCAATTCCCCGGCTCTATACTAAGTGTTTCGTTCAGTGCACTCATTGGTCAGTTTAGGCCGTTCCGTTCTTTTCGCATCCCCCTCTCATCTGCAAAATTCATATATTGTCCGGAGCAAATATTTTCTGGCGGACCATTTGTAAACTGTATCCTCAATAATTTAAATAATTATCAATGTAGTAGATATGCGTGAAACCTGTGAAATAGGCCGAAATGTCAATAAAAAACTTAAGTCGGGGTCAGGAGGTAAGTAAACAAATTGGAACAGCCAAATGCTCAACCGGATGTAAAAATGAAAAAAGTGGAAATGAACATCGAAATTGCCGATTTTGCAATATTCTGGTGAGTTTTCATGTTCGAATCGTAATATAGACCTCAGAGCAGAGCTACTAGTTTCGAATAGGGTCTAGGCACAAACGTTTTCTGTATGAAAGCTTTTGTGCCTAGACCCTGCGGGGTGTTTTCGAAACTAGTAGCCCTGCTCTTCGGCCTTTATTTCTTAAATAAATGTTCCAAGACTTGAGAATAAATATGCAATGTCATTCAAATTGAAAACTTCTGATTGGGTTGGAGACGAATTGTAGACAAGGTTTCGCGAGTTGCCCGGATGTGACTTAGCAAAAGCCTAGATTCACATGTCTTTTCTCGAAGAATCTTGTTATAGAAACTGCCTGTCATAACTCTGCCTTTTTGGCCACTTAAGGACAGTGTCATTCCCTGATGTATGAGAAAAAATATTTTAGGTTGTAATTAAAATGATATGAATGATCTTTCCATATCATCTCAAAATTATTATTCACATAGAAAGCTTAATTATACAATATTTGTTATTTGTTTCATGATTTCATTGTTTATTCAATCATTTAACACTCATCAATGATTAACGCAAAATAAACACATTTGACTGATACATTTGGTAAACATGTTTTGGAGCAGAACTGGCATTACATTGTGAAATTGTCAATAATTATAAGAGTATTTAAAGTATAAAAGGGGGCCCCTAAAAGCAAATTAGGGAATATTATAAACGACATACTCTTGTTGTTTATTCAGATCAGAAACAATGGACTTAAGCCTTTTAGGTAATATTCCTGAAGTCCCCCAAAAATTAGATTCCTAATACAAGGACTATTCAAGTTCTATATTTTTAGCACCTAATTTTGATCAAGCAAACTACCACTCTGGAAATGACGAAACGTTTCACAGTCCATGAATAAGTAAGCTTGTTCACCAGCCACTTTTGGAAAACACTGTTATTATGTGCAAGGCCTTATCTACATATAATATAATGTCACTTTGATAATAGAAGTGGTGACATACTAATTTACCTGAATTCCTAAACTGATAATGAATTTGCAAATAGTTCAAGATTATATCAGGAAAGTTGGTGACAATCACGAAAATCACTATTTTAATGAAGTAAATATTGATTCTTTTGTTATTATTACTAATATTGTGTGACTTGGATCTGTACAGGAAACTCAGATCACAATTTAGTATCAACATATTAGAAAACATAAGCTGATTCAAATACATTTACATGTACATGTACATGTAGTTAATTTGTAAACTCCTAAGCTCTTTAAAGTGGCTATGAATGATGGAAATGACCCAATATTGTTATTTCACTAGTTGCTTGATTATACAAGGGGCGATTTATATATTCTGATAAAAATGCTCTCATTTTGTGATTTTTTCACATATCCCTCTTATTTTTTCAGAAAATGTAGATTCTGTAATTACACATACAATGCTAAAATATTATAGCTATATCTTAAATTATCAATGAGATAAGGTTGCCATGGTAACCTGTATTAAGGGTAGGTAGGTCAATTAAACTATAACATATAAATATCAAAATAACTTGATGTTTTAATTATTTTAAAGCATGCGGAAATCATGCATTTTTCTAAAAGAGTTTGGTATTGTTACTCTTTGTTTAAATGTTTATATGTGCTCACTATAACATCACAACAAATCACAATAGCATTGTAGGACAGAATGGGCCAATTGACATTACATGTATGAGACTCAGAGACACACCAAAAATCAAATTGTCAGATGAGGTTAATGTGGCTGATGCAGAGTGTGACATTAATGGATACATTAGGGAATACAATTAGATTTTCTTTTCTTTTAAGAATAAGTTAGAGGACACTGTCAGAGACATGCATGGACTTATATAAGTGCATCCCATGGCAAAGTGTTATATCTGCATAAAGAATCTATAGGTGGTATTGTAAAGAGGAAGGCATGGTCACTGTTGAAGATCTAGATCATCCACAATCTGGTTGCAAGAAGAGCTTGCGGACAGAGAATAATACTATGATAAATTGAGATGTTACTAATGAAAAGATAGCTATCCCACTGTATAAATTATCAAACGAGGGCAACAGGGGTATGGAACAGATCAATGAATAGTTGGCAATGACTGGAAGATGCGTTTTGTCTGCTTAAAATAGGTACCGAGGAATGATTAAATTAACATGTTTATCTATTTTTGACGTTATAATTTAACCGACCTGCCTACCCTAAATACAGGTTACCATGGCAACCTTATTTCAAAATAAATTTAAGATATAGCTAAAATAGTTTAGCATCGTATGTGTAATTACATAATCTACATGCTCTGAAAAAATGAAAGGGATATGTGAAAAAATCACAAAATGAGAGCATTTTTATCAGAATATATGGATCGCCCCTTGTATATCACATTATTTTGAATCATTGATTTATTTTATTTGTTGAGAAGTTCAAAATACATTTGTACATCCTGGTCAGGAATAGTTAATCTATACCTTTGTCACAACTACCCTTGAATAAAATTAGACCCGAGTCATGTTTGAAAAGGCAAAATACAGTAAAGAGGGATATAATAAGAGGAAATAAAGTATATAGACATACTGTGGGTGCTGTATTTGTACAGAAATATCCAATTATCAGGCACTATGTTGAACTTTTGATATAAATGGCTTGGAATTAACAAAACCAAAGTGAAATTCCATGCAAGGACTTGGTCAACCAGGAAGTATAACATGTCAATTTATGATTCGGTATAATAGGTGCTCCAAATGTCTTTTGAAGTCCCTCTGTTGCTTTCCTATTGAAATTCCTTTTAGTTAAACATGTTTTATGGAGCGGAGTTTTATTTTTATGGTGGTACAACCAATTACAGTATAATGATAACACAAAGAAATATGTTTTATTTTGATGTGATATAAATAATTATCGTCCTAGATTTTTGGAAGATCATATAATTACCATACCTCTGATTGATGAGCATTTAACAAAAGTCAGAACAGGAAAAAAAGATTTGTAAATTGTATAAAGTTACATTATTTAGACCATTTTTTATGGTTTCAATTTGTGCCTTGATCTGTATGAATATTTGAAGTAATTAACCATTCTTTCATTACTTCTGCATCCAACCAGAGGATTCCCTTTGAACCCCATATCCCTAAATACACGGAAATGGTGACTCCATTTATGGTGTATATTAAACTCATAGAAAAATCATATGAAATAATTTATAGTAAAAATTAACATTATTTGTATACTTGCAGGCAAGGAACATTGCGACAAGTGAGCTGTCTGCAATCAAAGTCATCAAGCTTGAACCAGGTACGTAATAATTCAAAGAGTCAACATTTTGTGGGAAGTATTGAGGAATTGATGAAACAAGCACCTGTTGTCTCACCAGTGCTACTTGTATACTGGAATTAATTAGACATTTAAGACATTCAAGTCATTATTTTTGGGGAGAAATGAGGGGTAACTGCATAACTTGGTTACCCTGCGTACAGAGTCTAGTTAAACTACACTCTGCCTAGTAGAGACCATATTGCAGTTTAGTAGCCCCACCCCCACGACAGGTACCGGTGACAGTTTGGGTAATAAACAACTTTTGACCTACGCGCTGACCTTTCTTCCACCAATCAGCAAACAGCCAAATGCGTTCTAATTAAATATGCGCATGTCATTGGTCAATTCCGGGCTCAACGATGATGTCAGAAGGAATGACCATATATAGAACGTCGGTCAATTTTGGCCGACGAACACTGATTGGCGCGGTGAGTTCACAGGTTTATTTTAGTTTGAAAGAGTGAAGACGAAGCTCTCTTTTAAGAAGTGAAGTCAAACGAATGCAAAGGGTATAACTTGGTTAAACATTATTTTATGAGCTATTTATACAATCAAATATATATATTGAACTTGTTTTGATGTTAGTATGTTGTGAATCTATTCTTCCAGGAGATGACTTTGCTGTTATACAACAGGAGATACTTATGATGAAGGACTGCAAGCATCTTAATATTGTAGCCTATTTTGGCAGCTATCTACGGTAGGTAATATTGTAGTCTATTTTGGCAGCTATCTACGGTAGGTAACATTGTAGTCTATTTTGGCAGCTATCTATGGTAAGTAATATTGTAGCCTATTTTGGCAGCTATCTATGGTAAGTAATATTGTAGCCTATTTTGGCAGCTATCTATGGTAGGTAATATTGTGGCCTATTTTGGCAGCTATCTACAGTTTGTAAAGTTGTAACCTATTTTGGCAGTTGTCTTAGGAAACATTGTAGCTTACTGTATTTTGGCAGCATCTGTGATAAGTAATCTTATAGCCTGTTTTGGCAGCTAATTACAGTATGTACTAAAATAACTCAATAATCAGAATATGTTTCTGTTTTTTAATTCTTTCAGGAGGGATAAGTTATGGATTGCAATGGAATATTGTGGTGGAGGTTCCCTTCAGGATATATACCACAGTAAGTAAAACTAAATCAATAGTCTCTAAAGTGGCACAGATTCTGTAGCATGAGATAAATCTGTAAAGTGGCGTGAAATTCCATTGTGTATAGAATCACATGAAGTGTAAATTGACAGCATTTTAAAAAGTGACACAACATTTTATAAAGTGGCACAGCATTATAAAGTGACACAAAATTCTTAAAGTGGCATATAGCATTTTATGATACAGAATTCCCTAGTGCTGTGCAAAAACCAAGTACATTAGGAATGGAAGGGAAACCTGACCCGAAAAATGTTCGCTGTGCAGCAAAGTGTTGGATTGGAGAGGTTTTCAAATAAACAGGATATACTGTATATATACTCCATTTTTCAGTGACGGGACCTCTAAATGAGCCACAGATTGCATTTATCTGCCGGGAAACGTTAAAGGGTCTAGAATACCTCCATAGTAAAGGAAAGATGCATAGAGACATCAAAGGTGCCAATATCCTGCTAGATGAGGCTGGCAGTGTTAAACTAGGTAAGTAATTATTGTGGAATATGCCAAGGGGTCTTGTTTTGGGTAAGCGATTATTCAGATAAATGTCAAGGGGTCTTGTCTTGTGAAATGGAATAGAGGTGATATTGGGGTTCAGATCTAAGATTGATAACATTCAGATTGCTCGATAGGCAACTCATTTTTCATTATTCATTGGTAAGTGTGACGAGCAATTGCCATTGGCAACCAGGCAGCTTTGGGTTTCAAACCCTGAACAATATAAAAATTTTAAAAATGCATACATCTGAGAAAAAATATAATAGAAATAGGATGTATGTGATGGTTATTTCATGAGGTACATCTAACCTTATTTTATTGTATGTTTGATAAAATGTATGCATTGCTATATTGCAGCTGATTTTGGAGTATCTGCCCAAATTACTGCCACAATGTGCAAGAGAAAGTCATTCATAGGCACCCCATATTGGTAAGTATTAAATCGGTGAGGATTTAGGTTGAAGTCCATGAAAAAACTGGTGTTTATGTTTTATTGAACATAATTAGCCATAATTAGAGGATAAAATATCAATAAAAGTTACTTCGCTTAGATATTGAGATAATGTAAAGAAACTGTTTATTGGATTTACTGTAGCCTTTTGGTGTATAAATGGAGGGATTTTTGTTTTTCAATTTAGGATGGCCCCAGAAGTTGCTGCAGTAGAGCGAAAAGGCGGCTACAATCAGCAATGTGACATTTGGGCAGTTGGGATAACCGCAATAGAGTTCGCTGAGCTTCAGCCTCCAATGTTTGACCTACATCCAATGAGGTAAGCTAAAATATTCACATCTTGGATCTGTTTTTGTTTGGACAGGCTATGGGTATCTTTTGTTTGAATAGGCGACCGAGTATAGAATTAGAGCTTTATGATATTACAGGAAGTACATTTTCAAAATTGTTGACCACACTTTCTGTTTATTTGTTTAAGTGTTGCATTTTGATATTTATACTTCTGTTTCTGTTACCATTCACATCAGGCGCACAGTCTGGCATTTATTGGCCATCCCTTTATCCAGATTGTTTTCATAAGGGTTAATGTGAAAGTACTCCCAAAGTCATGTTCTTTTTAGTATGGGCTTTTAGGTCTTTTCATCTGACTTTGGTTCTACCACCTGTTTTTCTGAAAATGCTTGCTAAAATTAACCACATTATAAGTAGTCATATTACTGATGTAAGCTATTTTCTAATTGCATTAATGTATTTATAGGGCACTATTCCTCATGTCAAAAAGTGGTTTTAAACCACCAACTCTTAAAGACAAAAATAAATGGTAAGTCGAAATCTTTTTCAAATAAAAACATGAATTGAGAATCTCATTAATTTTTTAAAGGAAACCAATTACATAGCATCTAATATAACATTCAACATACTGTAGTTCTGTCTTCATTTCTTTTACATATTTACACAAATGCATGAGTTTGACTTTATGAGTATACTACTACTATATCACTCTTTTTTTGTTTTCTCTAGGTCTCCAACATTTCAAAATTTTGTCAAAGTCGCCCTGACAAAGAATCCAAAGAAACGTCCCACAGCAGAGCAGATGCTTCGCGTAAGTAAAACATTATTGCTTTGCACCTACCAACAAAGGACAGCATATCGCTGCCATTTTTCAAAACAAAAATTTAAAATTAGAGCCAAACAAAGGTGTAGTTAGAGAAAAAACATTGCCGATTACGATAACGCAAAGGGCTAAAGGCTTATGTAATTTTTAGTGGAATCCAAAATATGAAAACCTACAGAAACTCAAAATTGTTATTATATTTAGGATAAGATTAGGATTAGAGAGTAATTTATATTACCTTTGCATTATATTTGTATTATTGTTTATTTTCAGCATCATTTTTTCCAAGGAGACCTCAGTACTAGACAGACCAAAGACCTTCTAGATAAACTGAATAGTCCAGCACAGCATGTAGCTGCAGACTTCACTGAAACAGATGATGAACCAGAACCGGTAAGCACTGGAAATCAATGGGAATGTAATGTCATGTTGCTTAGTCACATATCCTATTTTCTGCATGAGAGAAATGCAAATTATGGGCAGAAATTCTGCATAAAAAAGTTGAATTTTGCGCTAAATTCTGCATGAAATCCCAAATTCTGCGATAAATTCTGCAAGCAATGGCTTTTGAACTATCACAAAATTGCAGGGAATTAAAATTTCATGACATATTTAGACTTAATCTTTAAGTGCAAAAGCTGGAATGTTGAGAATTTTAAACACATTTCACACTTCCCCCACGAAATCCTCATATCGCCAGTTTCTGGAATCACAGAATTGTAGTATCTGTGCATAGTATTTTTTTCTAAATTAATTGTATATTTGATCCAAATAGAAGAGTGATTTCCCCAATAGATAAATTTTAACTGATTCGAAGACATAATAAGAATTCTCAATAGTATGACAAAAATCTCTTACAATATAATTCTTTGAATATGATTGTGTCTTTCAGCAAAAACAATATGAAACACATTTATTTGATTAAATCATGAGAAATGCCTCAACGCACAGTGTAGGTTCTATTTTTTCTTTTCTAAGGTGGCAGCTGATATCCCACGAAGGATCTCATCAAAACGTTCAGCACAATACCAGGAGAGAACACGCTCAGAAATAAATAGTAAGCCACAATGTTTAGTCCTATCTCCATTTTCAACGCACAGTGTAATAATAATAATAATAATAAGAGAGAACACGCTCAGAAATAAATAGTAAGCATTATGTTTAGTCTTATCTCTGTTTATACAGAGAAATTAATAGGATTGATTGAGTTGTTCCTGGGTCGGTTCCCTGTGGGGACTGTGGGCTTCTGGCTAGGGGTCATGCCAGCTTGTAATGACAGTGAGAAAAAAATCTTTACAGTTTTTGGGCTCATTTGGTTGGCTCATGTGCAGTTGGTACATTTAACATTGTGAATAATGCACACTTACAAAAACAATTATCTATTTTTCAGTGGAGAATGTAAAGTTTGAGCCTCCCCTTGTTACAGAAACCAAGTCAGAACAGGTAAATTAAAGGTTGTGTGTCACTTACAATGTCACATTCAGCATCTAAAAATGTTACACTTTTTTGCTTAGTACACCAAACTTCATAAGAACCTGTGTTCTAAGTCGATGTAATATGGTACCTTTAAATTGTATGAAAATATATAGAGACCATCCTGAAAAATTAGTTCCTTGCATATAAATATTCAACACATCTGTACATTAATTCAGGGTTCAGGTGGCTATGAACTGGCGCAATCCTGGGGGCTTGAAGATGGCGAACACATACATACTGATGAGGCACAAGGAGCTTGGGAAGGTGATAAGACTTTAGAACAAGGCGTTGAAAGTCCAAGGTAACATTCTTATTGCATTTGGGGCCCTCAATTTTTTTTAACTCAGTACACGAGGGCTGAACCAAAAGTTTTTTACTGTTTTTTACTGTTTTTCAGATTTTTAAAATATATTTTAGAAGTTAGTCTTTCTAGAATTCTCTCTGGTTTTTCTCTTCAACCAAGTGTGAATTTAATTTTAACTGTTCTGACTAAGAAAGTTTAAAAATTAGTCAAAATATTTCTAAAATCTCAACTAGGTGTAATTAATTTTCTGGATGTGGCACTTAGTTGCACCTAGTTGCTTCAATACTAGCGGGATAAGTGTCCATGTAATATCACAAAATACGGGATAAGTGTCCATGTAATATCACAAAATACGGGATAAGTGTCCATGTAATATCACAAAATACGGGATAAGTGTCCATGTAATATCACAAAATACGGGATAAGTGTCCATGTAATATCACAAAATACGGGATAAGTGTCCATGTAATATCACAAAATGTTGGATAATTGTCCATGTAATATCACAAAATATGGGATAAGTGTCCATGTAATATCACAAAATATGGGATAAGTGTCCATGTAATATCACAAAATATGGGATAAGTGTCCATGTAATATCACAAAATATGGGATACAATGCTTCATGGAGGATCCTTACCTTGAGTGATATTAAGTGTGATTCTAAAGGCCACATGCATATTTATTTCATAGCCATCTATCCATAATATCTATTTAACCTGTCACTGGCATTTCAATGTTCTCTCTTTTTTTGAGAACTTGTTGATTTTGATGCCAAAAAGTCAGTGAATACATTTAATAAAGAGCTCAATGAGCACTGGAGCTTTGTGTCCTTTATTTCTCTTTAGAGTTGAAAGAGTGTTGATTTCATGCCTGTTTACTTCATTCCTTGCACAAAAGTTTCTTTTTTCTGATGCAATAATATTTTTATATATTCAACTTTGAATTTGCAAAAAACGTAGACAGGTTGGATGTTATTATGATTTTTTTATTAATCAGTGACAAATTAATCGAAATTAGGCCTTAGTAAATAAATAAAATGTTTAGCATACCTTAGCCTATCCAATTTAAGAAAGAAAGTCTCACCCCTCTATCCATCTAAAACAAGATAGTGCTAAACAGAGTATTTAATTATGCTGGCCTAATTTTATTACACTATGTAGTAGTAACTAAAACATCCTCAAATATTGTTTTGTATTGTATTATTTTTTCTGTATATGTTTTGAAATTGTAACATCTGAATTTTGAGATGTATTCTCTCCTTTCCCAGTTATTCTTTATTCTTAACATTTCTCCTTTCTGAATATTGACACTTCAAGTGGAAAAGCTATAATCAGATTGCTTCTTAGCTTCTTTATTACTAAATAAATAGCAAATTTTAAAATTCCAAATTAACAAGTAGTTGTTGAGCTCAACAGTAACCCTTTTTGTTGTTTATTTTCCATTCATTTTTTTGTTAACCCTTTACTGCCATGATGTGTATATGTTCCAGGAGCCTTCTGGAAACAGTAAATGATGAACTTTTACAAAGGTAATAAGGGTTAATGTGAAATAATCGCAGAATGTTAATATTGTGGTAAATTGTTGGTTTCATCTGGTTTGGTTCATACTCACAGATTTGGTTTCCATGGTAATATACTTGCTTTGGCATGGGTATTGTTATAATCATAACTCGCAATGAACTTATTTCTATCAATTAAATTTAATTTAGGCACATATTATAAAATCATGTTATATTTATTTAATTTTGGAGTTATGCAAGCATTAAAAGAATAATTTGTATCATTGCATTTATCAAATTGAATTTTGTTTGTTGACTTTAACATCTGGCACTTTGTAGACCCTTTAACAATATATATATATATATATAGGACTTTCAAAGGGAAATACACTATACGAGGGTTGTCTCAGAAGTAATGCACTATATGCTCTAACTTTATCAATACTATATATTTTTCTATGAAATTTTCTGTGAATATTCCTTGTGCATTATTGTTATCAATGAATACACACAGCAGTAAAATATCAAATAGACAGAATTTACTATTCTTGACCTCTGCTTCGTCTGATACTGACCAAATTGAAAGGATTGTTATTAAAAGTTTCATCAAATGTGTAAACTGTTCAGGCATAACTCCATTGACCTCTGAATAATATGATATACATAGAACTATGTATATGTCAATTTACAGTTCCATTCTAATATCTTAAGAAATAAAGACACTTATTGACTTTGACCTTTTTTCTTACCTTTGACCTTGACCTTTCAGAACAACAAGAGGTCAAACTGATCATTTTCCAATCTTCTTGCAAAACACAGACTTTCCTATCAATTTACCTTTTAATTTGCTTTGTCTAACATTAGAGCATCTAGTTAGTTTTATGGATCTATTAAACACTTTGTTTTCAAATACTTTTCTAAATCTTTACATATAATATTTAATTGTAATTTTAGCATAATATGCATGCTAGTACGATCTATACAGTATACATGTATATACATTTAGCTTATGTACAGACATGTTACAATTTTGTTATTATAAAAAACATTAATGCAAACTTATGTATTATTTGATGTTAAAATATTCCACATAGAGTAGATGTAGTATGTCATGCCATTTTAACCTTAAACAAGATAAAAAACCGGAAAGAATGAAATCCTGGTTTAGTTAGACTGTTCAATATATATATTATGTAAACTTGTTCAGTTTCATCATTATGTTTGTCAAGATGTTTGTGACATATTCTATAAAGTTTGGTATTTTCACTATAGGGGTCATCGACAGAGTTTGATTTTAGAAGATGAGGATTTAGATCCGGACTACGTTTCACAGTAAGCACCGTGAATAAAAACTTACACAGTCATGTCTTTACTCTCAAAAATTAGAGCTAAACATGAATTACCAAGGAATATTATGAACATGCTCCTCTAACAAGAAAAGATTTTTTTAAATTGATTTTTTGAGAGGAAGGGGGAAAAGGCATGACTTAGGTGAAGTCTTATAAACGGGCAGTCAAATATTTGTATTAAGTTCGCCTCACTTTTGTAGTATTTTGTAAGCCTCACTTTCTTCTAGTTTCACCTATGGGCTAGCCTCATTTTCAAAATCATTGAACTAGCCTCACTTTTAAAATCATCTGAGCTTGTCTCACTCTCAAAAAGTTATTTGAGGTAGCATCACTTTCTAAGTCCTATAAACAAGCCTCATTTTCAAAATCACCTAAACTAGCCTCATTTTCAAATTTGTTTGAGCTAGCCTCATTTTCAAAATCGTTTGAGCTAACATCATTTTCAAAACATTTGAGGTAGCCTCATTTTCATAAGCGTTTGAGGTAGCCTCATTTTTAAAATCATTTGAGCTAACCTCATTTTCAAAATGTTTGAGCTATCTTCCTTTTAAAAACCATCTGAACTACCCTCACTTTAAAAATCATCTGAACTACCCTCAGTTTAAAAATCATCTGAATTGACCTTACTTTCAAAATCATCTGAACTAGCCTAAAAGGTATTTTCCTCCTCTATTAATTAGTATTCATCTTGCAAGTTTCTGAACGAACATAAAATTATTTGATTCTGAGTTTGCTATAATCTTAATAATAAATAGTTGGTTGTGTGTTTTGTGTAAATATGTATTTTGTAATGTGGTTTTATGAGTTGGTTGATTCACCTGTCTTGTGTCTTAGAATTCATCTTATGTATCTGACATGACTGTATTAATAGTTAAAATACTAGCAGGCAATTCATGTGGCACAGTAGTTTTTAAACAAGATCTAAAAATTATGGTATATACTGTACATGATGCATATTTTTTCAACATGCATGGCTTCATGTGATTTGTTCATTAAGGGCATTTACCTGTTTTTAGTTATTGGTTATTTTGATCAACATTATTCAAATCAGTTATTAATCAAAAATGTTTTTGTTCAAATAAATCAGTGTGCACTTTCAATGTATATCTTGTTCCAAATCTACATAAGCAATATTTATAATAATATAATTTGCTAGAGAGCGATACTTAATTTGGTTATTTATTATTTTGAAGTTGGAATTTAATAGTTTTAAAACTTATTTTTGCTTTTTATTTCATTTTTCCACATTTCTTTGCTGGTAAAGCATGGCTCGGTATTTAAGGGATGAATATAATTTATAGAGGCTTTTAGACTGCATGTAGTTATAGTAATGTGTAAGGCAAAGATGGAAATGAACGTTGACATTTTCAAGCAATATTTATGCTTTTCCACTTTTTTCACGATATTATAAGAAAATCTTGCAATAACAATTTGTCCTTTGAACCTATATTTGATGTATCTCCCCATTCCTTCTTTTAAAAACAAAAGTGATGTGTCTTCAGATCTAATCACAGTTACAGATAGATGAAAAAGTTTTACAGCACACGCACATTCATGTGTCTGTTTTTGGTGATTCATTCAATTTTTATGAAATTTTAGCAAGGCAGTATTGATATATAAGATTAATGGGAGATGAATAACATACAAAATTACAGTACATCTATCTTGTTATTAAAATATATTTTTGATTTAATATTTATGAGTATATAAATATGATGGATCTTGAGACAAATCACTATAAATCCCAGTTCACCTATAAATCCCAATTCTTTTGATCAATTGAATAGCACTTAGTAAAATAGTTGAAGTATTTGGTGACCTAGTGACATTTTTGTTTATTTTTCAGAGAGACGCTACCTATTGGAGCGCCACCTTTACCACCTAAAGTAAGTAAAACACTTTGGTTCTAAATTAGAATAAAGTTTTGAAATTTTTTAAATTAAAATGATACATTTTCATTTTACATATAACTATAATATATACAGTTTACATTTTTGTTGTTCATATGTTTGATTAAGGATGTAAAATATTACATATTTATGATTTGTTTAAATGTCCATGAGTTTCTATGTGTATCATTGTAGTATTGCATCATACATTTAAGAGTTGTTTTGACATCTTACATGATATACTTGAATGGGGTCAGGGTGTAAACAGTAAACAGAAATCACACCTGTCCAAAATGACCATAATTGATAGCTTTTAATACCTGCTCCCTTAGGGGCTGGGTTATAATGCCCATTTTCAGTATTAGAAGGATGATACCTCCTCCCTCCGCTTATTCTGAAAGAGTTTGAAATGATATTTACTCCCATTTATATTTCAATTTTCTGAAGTTAAAGCAATGTTGGCTTTTATACTTCCCACAAAATGAAATGAAGGAAGGGGTAGGTTAGACAGTATTATAGGTCGTGCTAATATTACAAATACCAGGAGTTAATATAAATTATTTACTTGAAATTTCAGCCTGCTAGTTCAACTCCTAGTCCCACATCAGATGACGGTGAATCACCAAATGTTGACAATTTAGCAGACTACATGGGGACCCTTGTGGCAGGGTCAAACCCACCCACAGAGGAATCGCTACCCCCAGCACTGCCCCCTAAGCAGAAATACAAGGGAGAGAATGGTGAGGTTCCAAATGGGGGCGTGAGCACTGGTGTGGAACCCCCACAGGTGCCCCCCAGACCTAAGAAAAGGGGGGAGAAGGAGAAGAAGGCGTCGCCACAGACAACCCTTCTCAATGGTCTTCCTCCCACTCCAAAAGTACATGTAAGTTGCATTTTTAACTCAATTCAATTTCAATTTGTTTATTTCACAAAACACATACAATATACATATACAATGAGTGGGTGACACAAGGGTTTGTGTATATTCCCAAGATGGAGTAAATTTACAAAGTATGTTAGAGTGGCGGGGATCTGCCATTGCATGACCTCAATAATATAAATATATATATATATAATTATAATTTGTGCCATCAGAGTGCCCTTTAATAGAATTAAAGTTGTAATAAATATTTTTTTGTCTGTTTTTTCATGAGTACGATGCTTCTGATAGATTTAAAATGTGGGGGTAATTGGTTCCAAATATCAGGTATAGAATAAGATAGCATTGATTTTCCATAGTTTGTACGGATTTTTGGTTTGTCGAAAGTTTTCTTGTTTCTTGTATTATAATTATGTCTATTTTCAACTGTTTGGAAGAAATTTGGAAATATTTGTTGGTAATTATCCTTGCCATTGATCCATTTAAACATGAATATATATCTTTGTTGCTTATTTATCTCAAATATGTTCAGGATTTTTAGATCATGAAAAAGAGGTAAAGAGTGAGCTCTGAAGTCGCTGTTTGTTGCAATCCTTACAAATTGTTTCTGCGAGCGATGAAGAGTATTAAGCAATGTACAGCCTGCTTCGCCCCAGATTATATTTCCATAAATAAGATATGAGTAGATTAGAGAGTAATATATACTAAGTAAGCTTTTGGCATTCAATAGGTGTTTAACTTTGTATAATATACCAATGGTTCTTGATATTTTCATGTTTACTGCTGTAATGTGATTCTTCCAGGTAAGATTCTGATCAATTATAATTCCTAAAAAGTTAATGTGTGTCACTTGTTCAAGTACTTTATTATTCACAATGACTGATATTTCATTTTTATTATATTGCTTTTGTCTAGAAGAAAATATGATATATTTAGTTTTCTTTGCATTTAACGAAAGTTTATTTGTGGCTATCCATTCCTCAATTAGTTTCAATTCAGCATTCAAAGCATTAGTAATTTCATTAAGATTTTTTCCTTGTATTAACAGATTTGTATCATCTGCAAATAGAACAAAAAATAATCGAGGAGAAGATAAGTAGATGTCATTGATGTATATGATAAAAAACAAGGGACCTAGCACAGAGCCCTGAGGAATTCCACATGTAATTGTCTCGGGATCTGAAATAGTATCTATATAACAGGTTTTTTGAATTCTATTAGAAAAGTAACTTTTTATCCATTCCAGCGCTACACCTCGTATCCCATAGAAATCAAGTTTTTGAAAGAGAATATTATGGTCAATAGTATCAAAAGCTTTAGAAAAGTCAAGAAACACCCCAATAGAGAATTCACCTTTGTCTATAGAATGTCTGATTTTTTCAACAAATGTAAGTACTGCCATGAATGTTGATTTTTTTTCCCGAAAGCCAAATTGATAAAGATACATTATTTCTATTTTATCAAGAAAAGAGGTCAGTCGATGGTGCATAAGTTTCTCAAGTAATTTTGAAAAGACTGGTAAAATTGATATAGGTCTATAATTATTAAACAGCTGCTTGTCCTCCTTTTTATGAATTGGTATTATCTTCGCAATTTTTAATTTGTCAGGAAAAACACCATTTGTTAGAGATAAATTGAAAATATGTAATAATGGTAATTGGAATTCCTTACCACAATGCTTAATTATGGAAGGTTTGAAATCGTCAAAACTGGCCGCAGAGTTTTTCAATTTTGATAATTCCACGTTTAACTCATTAGAGTCGATCGGGTTCAAAAATAAAGTTGAAGCTTGTCTACCAATATTATTCATGTACTCACATGGTGAGCCTATGGAATCACCCACTCCAGTGAACAATAACTGCCATTTGTTTGAACTTTATGCTCCTCATCATTTATGGGGGCCTATACACAATTAGTCCCTGCTTCTGCTTTTGCCTCATTGGAGAAATCAGCTTTTTTTCCATTTCATGATTTAACAATTGGGTTTAATCAAGAGTCTCGGCAGGAGTTATCAATAAATGAAACATTTACAAACTATAAATATCAGCATTTAACTAAAATATCGAAATCGAAAATGTATGATGATAGATAATCCAACCACCACTTTATTTGTCAAGTTTCTGTCACATCCCTACCACAACCTCATAATTATTTTTATAAAATAACAAAGACTCTCAACTCATTATATTTTTGGTATCTTTCAGATGGGTGCCTGTTTCTCTAAAGTCTTCAATGGTTGCCCCCTACATATAAATGTAACTGCAAGTTGGAATCATCCAACCACAAAAGGTAAGTGTATGAATTTTTTTTTATCCCATCGAACAAAGTTTGGAGGGATATAGGGAACGCCTCCGTCTGTCCCTCCGACTGTCTGTCCGTCCGTCCGTCCATCCATCCATCTGTATGTACGATGGGATTTGCTACGCTTTGGCATTGCTGTTGTCTAGTTTGTATTTAAGGTAGTTGTGAGCAGTCAAAAGTTTCTTGATTATCACTTCATTATTTTTTTAAATTTTAAAAGTACATTTACAGGAATACAACCTTAAACAATAACAATAAGTTACATGTCTTGATTACCTCTTATTAATTGTCAATAAATCTAACTCTATTATATCTACTATATCGAAGTGGTCACTTTCGGCTGAAAAATCTTTCCCAAATCATTAACAAATAACGAGGTTATTTACATACCTTTCCTTTTATTAATTTCAACCTGATTATTGAAAAAGATGGTTTGGTTCTTGGTTGGTGGGATCTTCCGATTCTATTGGTCTTTGTTAAATAAATTCTGACCTCCAATCACTTTGTTTTAAGATGATCGATCACATGACTTGATTCCCTTCGCTGTATAGTTCATCCTGTCTGATGTTATATGTATCTGGGTGGTTTATTCCTTGTAACCTTAGCAACTCAACCATGCGTTAGACAACATTGAACATACCATGAACAAAAGATTTTTATTGGACAGAGAGAACGTTTTAAAAAATTGACCATCAAGACAGGAAGTTAGAGCATTATTTACCTGAAAACCAGGAGTTTGTTTAAGTTTAGGAAAATAAAAAATGCTTGATTTAATAGAATACATTAATGTTAAAAAGAATGTAGATAAAAGTGCCCAGTATTTTCAGTTCTACAGTGTTAAAGGTTTGATATGTTATCATTGTCCCACTTTTAACAGGTTTCTGTCCCTCGGATGTTTTTCTCCCATCATTTGGATAATTCACCACAGTTGCACACGTCACAGGGAGAGTCTCTGTAGTAAACAATATACCCCCTAATACTTTCTTACCCCTGCTGGTTACATTAAAGATCTCATGTCGAGAGTCCGCAATTGATGTGCCTTGGATTACCATCCCGAGACCTCCTTCGTGGGCAATGTTTCCTTGGCAACCGAAATATACATTGACAGCATGGTTTGAACGTTTAGTGATCGCAACACCCGTAACATATTCACTTGGAGTTGCGTTAATCTTACAGACTTTTCTGATATCTGATTTATCAAGAATTGATCTGAAATTTGAAAGGGCGCCATTCCTTAGCTCAGCGCATTTGAGTGAAAATGAGGTTGACCAACATATTGTTCCATTTTTGTAGTCGATTCCCATCGTGCGAACTGGGCTTTCTTCTGATTGTTCTTCAGTGTGAAGTAAAGAAACAAGTCCTTTCTCAGAAGCTTGGTATAACTCCAGGAATATTTTTTGTCCTTTGAATTTCCACACTTGAAAGAAGAATAGGAGTATATCTGTGTTTGGATCCTTAATAATTTTCATATAACTTCCTTTTACGCTGAATGTCCGTTTCTCCCAGTTTATTTTGCTTTCAGAATCTTCCGTAACATTTGCAATTAATTTTGAACATTTAAGAATATTTAAACCAGCTTCTGTATTCTTGCTCCATTTGTCTTCGCATCCATCTAATAGCCGTAATTCAAGTTTCACAATGTATCCTTGATACTGGCCATAGTTACCATATACCCCAGGTAACAAGAAATAAATTTTTGAGTTGTACATAGCCATGCAGTTGATCCCTGCGTCTTCCAAATTAAAAAAGTCCCAGTTATCGCTAGCCATAGTCTCTGCTGTGAGATATCTTTCCCCGAGTATAATCCTCGGTTTTGACTCAGTCCCGATACATAACGACCCAATCCCAACTGTCACATGACTTCTGTCTTTATTAGCTATTTGAAATAACACTTTTTGGGATACAGGGTCATAAGAGGCACTCATCATGTCTAGTTCAGTCAAGTATCTTTCACTGTTATCATCATTTTCATATTCTGCACGGTTGTATCCACTAGCGTACAAATTACCTTCTTGGCCCTGGAGATCGGCATACACAGGTCCTCCATATAACCCTGAAACATGTTCAATACATAAAATACTTTTTGTTGTACCTAAAAAGATATCTCACTTTTCTTGTCTGTTCGTACAGGTAATAGACCAACCTCTTCTAAGTCAAAATTTTTATAATTGTTTTATGAGGCAGCTCTTTGATTTTTTCTAATACATGTACGTACCTGGTGCTATTCAAATTCAAAGTGTCAAGTGAACATGAATCTAATACAGACCTGCAGGGTACATTTGGTTATCAGCTGGTGACACCCTGTAGAGGTAGGTTGACGTTACGTCCCTGATGATGCACATGCACAGGAAAGCACACAGTTTTAGTCTGTATTCACACAGCTTCATTTTGATTAGATACTTCGAGACACTAGCTATATTCCAGCAGTTGGTTCATTGACGAGACAGGTTTGGACGAGTATGTCTTCTTCCAGCCAATCAGAGTTTACTTGCGATTCTTTTTATCCGCAATGTTTCATTTTATTTTGATACTATAAGAGAGGGATCTTCTTCCTTGTTAGTGTGTTCAAGTATGTTCAAGTATGTTCAAGTAAATCACTCAGATCTTTAGTGCAGTCAAGTTCATTGTTCCCTGGTCAAGGTAATTTGTCTAGACACTTTCTCATACTTTCCACATTACTCTCACTCTTTTTCATGAAAGAATTTATCAAGGTATGAAGTTCAAACAATTTTCAAAAAAGATAATTTCTATTTTAATAGTATTTTAGAGCAAATATGTGTAAATTCAGTTAGTAGTTTTTTCCAAGGTTTAAAAATGTTTTTTTGAAGTGATAGATTTATTCGAGGTGAATATGTGATCTTGACACATATGCACTCACTAAACAGACCATCAATTAGATGAAAATGCCTCAGGTACAAGATAGTATGACTTCCAGAGGTTACACAACACAATTAAACAAACCCATATGTTGGACAAAACACATATTTCATCATATAGCATAAGAGGGGAAATAACCCATAATTCAAGGATGTACCTTGGAGTTGATCTTTACATGAAGATAGGTTTATCTTTGAATTTTGGGTAATCCCCCCTCTTACAATGTGTGATTTTATTTATATAAATACTGTGCTCATTATTACCCCAAAAATGTTTATTTTAGGTAATTTTTCTTTGACCCAATCAGAGGTAGCGTATAAGGTCACATGATCATTACTATCCAATAAAATGTCTTCTTTCAGAGCAATATATAATCCTGGGTGCAGCTGAGGGAATCTTTTCTTTGAACCAATCACAGGTAGTGAATAACATCATCAGATCATTAATATGCAATAAAATGTCTTCTTTCAGAGCAATATATAATCCTGGGTGCAGCTGAAGGAATCTATTCTTTGAACCTGAGTGAGATTCATGAAGGAACCATGGAATTGGTAAGTTGAAATATTCATTGGCAAAAAAAAGAAAAATTTTCAATAAGTCAATGTCAAAATAATTACATGCATCTTTCATTTTATTTGTATTCACTACAGTCAAATACTAGACTATAAAACTTTACAATTCATTCTCCTTTTTTGCTGTACAAAGATGTAATCCAGAGATCACATGAACAATTTTTCCAATCAATTCTGCTCAGGAATGTTGGATTATCTTGATAGGAGATTGCAAATTGGTGAATTCAATCTCTTGGGTTACTTCAACCAATGAAAGTAAAAGATATCCTTGTACATACCTATATTTGTGTATATATTGTATATCTATATTTGGGAAAACAACATTCAATCAAAATTCAAGTTTCAGATCACATGACCATTCTTAACCAATGAAATGTCTTCCAGGTTCACCCTAGAAAATGTATCTGGATGTATGTCATCAAAGATGTGCTTATGTCTATATCTGGAAAGACTCAGCACCTTTACAGACATGACCTTATACAAATCCATAGCAAACAAACCAACAGATTTTCTTTACCAGTCAGTTATGTAGGCAAGATACCAGAGAAGCTTATGCCAAGGTATGTTAGTGTTGATGGTCATCTAAATCGGATTTTTTTAGTTGATAAATCCCTCTCACTGACTCTCATGTTAATTTCTGCTAGTTTGGCCATATCTGCAACCCAGTGACTCATTCTTTTGCTCATTTTTATGATCACAAAGGAATTTTTAGAATAAAGTCTTTGATTATGTAAACTTAATATTTACCCATTTACATCGAATGAAATGCTACATATCTTAACAAAATATTCTAATAAGTTTATGTAACTGCATATGATGTGTTGGAAACTAATTTTTTATTTGTAATACAGGCGGCTAAATCCTTCAGTGAAGGTAAACGACACAAAAGGTTGTGTGCGCTGCTGTGTGGGACGGAACCCTTATAATGGCTACAAATATTTATGTGGAGCCCTGCACAATAGTGTGGTGCTCATGCAGTGGTACGAACCCCTTAACAAATTCATGCTGCTTAAGGTATGCCCAGTATTGATATTTTTGAATATGATCTTAAACTCCAGCACCACGATTTATTAAAATAAAGCACTGCAAGATCCAGTATATTTTTTGAAGAACATTATAGTCTTTCACCCATTGGGTAGATTCAATATTGGCTTTGAAAATACATAAATCATAAACGAAAACATAAGAGACATTGAGGCCCATCAAACATCATACTAGATATGTGACCATACATTTTCAGCAATTCGAGTGCCCCCTGCCTGCCAATATTCTAACATTTGAAATGTTGATCACACCAGAGCTAGAGTACCCAATGGTCTGTGTAGGAGTCAGTCGGGGGTAAGTATTTTGTTATATTACACTGCCAGTGAAGTCTGATCAATCTGGACTATTTCACCAGATTTAAGCCTCAGTCACATTTGCTCTATGGCGGCTGTCAAGCGGTCGTAGCTTCACAAAATCAGTACAGAAAATCTACATCATTCTGCATATCCTTATATTTTATGCTGCATATTTCTCTCAATTTTGGGAAGCTACGGTCGTTGTACAGTTGCCATAGATCAAATGTGACTGAGGCATTACTACCCTAATCTACCCCATAGCCCAATTACATATGTTTTTGATAAGTTGATGTTTACATGTTCTCAGACTTCATAACTTTTGTCCATTTTATGAGATATCTCGTCCTTAGACTGCAAAAAGCTATTGAACGGATGTAAGCTATTGAACGATTTAATGTACAAAGTACAGAGTCACATGATAACTATTTTTTTGTTGTTCATTTTCAGGGAATATTTTATTTTGAAGTTAGGTCAACTGAATACTCCTTTGAATTTTATTTATGCTATAAAAAACCATCCTACTTTAGGACATGAGTAACATTGATTACATACAAAATACACTGTACATTCATTTTCAATTATTATGCCTCTTATTTCAGCCATGATCGCCACCATTTGAAGTTTGATATTATCAACATGAATTCTTCCAGTAGTTGGTTCACTGACCAGACCGGTTCAGGTGAGTGTGTCTTCTTATAGCCAATCAAATAACAGATTTTACATCATGTGATCATTATTGCCGTATCATGTGATCATTATTATCCAATCAGATATTTTGATTCTAATATTTCATTAACGCCCCAGTGTGTTCCCCTCCTCTGTTTATAAGAGCATGTTTCTAGGAAAATTGTGAATGCTGTGCAATATTTCCTATCTCTTTTCTCTTATGTCACCAACACAAGTAGTGACATATTTTTATGGATCCCCAACTTTTTTGTGACCGTTGTTCCACGGTTTGTGTTCATTATTTGGTGGTTGGTGTTTGGCATTCTGCATCTGTTACTCATGACAGGTGATGACATTTTGCTAGTAGTGCCTTGTTTCAGGATCATATAGCTTCCTCTAGGCTTCACAGAACCATCAATGTTACTTTATTTAGGTAACATAATTACTATTCATCAATGTAGTGTTGATTTTCTTTCAGGCGTGGCCTACTTAGATGTGGTTAACGTCACACAGTTAGAGAAAGACAGCATTCTAGTATGTTATGACAGTAAGTATTATCTTCAGCCAATCTGGTACAGTTATGAAGATCACATGATACATATCTCAGCATATCTCAGATTTCTCTGTCCATTTGTTCATTAAATGATAGCTTAATACAAGTTGTCACTATATGATGACACCACGATCAAACAGTTGTTATAGTTCATAGGGTAAAGATCATGTAACATAAGTCAAATATTCTTTATCAGCCTATCAAATGTGAAAATCTTGTTTTAGATTTTGTGAAAGTGGTCAACATGAATGGCAGGTTGAAATCTAGTCGCAGACAGGCAGCTGAACTGCACTTTGACTTTAAGGTTGAATCGTTAGGTAGGTACCTTTTGATACAAATTATTTTTGGTACTGGTTTTAAATGTGTATATGTCTTGGAATCAGGTTTTAAGTATTTTTCCATTTTTCTCATACAGTGTATAATTTGATATGATGAATATACAGCATTTCATTTGAACATAATATATTACAGTTTGCCTCCAAGATAGTGTATTGGCCTTCCATAAACATGGAATGCAGGGACGCAGTTTTAAAGCCAATGAAGTTACCCAAGAGATAAGTGATAGGTCTAGAATATTCCGACTATTAGGCTTTGATAGGTAAATATACCAGCTCCTAATATTGTACTTCATAAAAAGTTATTTCTGACATGTTCGTAAAATCTTGAAATGCTGATATATTTTATTTATTCGTAACTTTTGGATTTGTGTTCTCTAGAATGTCATTGCTGTGATTGGTCATCTGTATTATTATTTTAAATGGGGACATTTTTTAAACTGTTGCTTATTATAATATCAGTGGATTGAAAAATTGTTTAGCATCAAAGTATCAAAACACTTATTTTCCCTTCAATAAAGTTGTGATTACTATGATTGAAAATTGCATCGAAAATAATTTGTATCATGAAATTCACCTACGATTACAAATTATTGTGAAAACTGCATTTTCAGGTCAATCGTTCTTGAAAGTCGACCCACGGATGAACCAGACGCGAACTCCAATTTGTATGTATTAGCAGGCCACGAGGCCACCTATTAGCCAACTTGAATATTAATTATTGCTCAGTTTTATACCATTAAGTGTCATTTGAAATGTTGGATATGGGCCAGTCAAGTGAAATACTGGTTACGCTCCAATTGTATGAGATGTTGGATTGCAGTCTGATTATGGGAAATACTCCGATCTCGTGGATTTTGCTGAATTCCGTTAAATATTGGATATTCTTGGTTTTCCTTAAATTATGGATACATTCGGGTAAGGAGAAATTGTGGATATGTAATGATGGAAATATCTACACCGACAAATTGATGTTAAAACATTTCAAACATTGTGACCCAAAATCAAAGGATTTATATACTTGGTGTCATCAATACTGATGACCTTTTAAGAACATCCATTGAACATATACGAAGATTTTGTGAAATTAAGGAAAGCTCTTTCAATTTTGATCTTGTGCTTCTTATGAAGAAGAAAACCTTGGATTAAATCAACCGGGAACCGATGGATTTGGTTACTTTGACTGATAACAAACAACATCTCTTAAAACCTGCAGAAAGGATCTATAATAGGATATAGGATCAAAGTGCTGAATATGACATGTGCCTAGAAGAATGTTACTTATGTGAAGAATGTTTCCAGTTAGAAGAGTGTTTCAAATGGATACAGTGTTTCCAATGGGAAAAGTGTTTCCAATGGGAAAAGTGTTTCCAATGGGAAAAGTGTTTCCAAAGGGAAGAATGTCTCAAATGGAGACAGTGTTTCCAATGGAAATTGTGTTTCCAATGGAAATAGTGTTTCCAATGGGAAAGGTGTTTCCACTAACGAGAGAAGTGTTTCCAATTGGATATTGAAGTAATATCAACTTGTTAACTGTTTTAGTACTAACACTATCTTGCCCTGTACTATACTTTCATGAATCAGCATTTTATGTCATGTAAACGTATTAGTAACTACCCATGATGTACCTATCTTATGTTCTGAATTTAAGTCCCAGTTTCTAAAGAAAGTTCCATTTACCATATGAAATATGTACCATTGTTCACATGAAATAAGTACTTATTTGCACTTGTTAGACATATGTACCAATTGGCATATAAAATAGGTACATTTATGCACAAGACAATGTACCATTTGGCACAATAAATACTGTAGTTACCATTTTGCACGGTTGCAATAGTAAACTTATTAATTGTCAAATTTCAATGAGTTAAAATGCTTTTGATTGCATTGCTGTGTATTTTCAAGAGGAGTTATATATTTTCTCATGAACAATTTAATTAAGGTTTTACAGGTTCAGGAATGCAAGTTCAGTGAATTCAAGGAATGCATGTCTTATGGATTCAATGAATGCATGTCTTATGGATTCAAGGAATGCATGTCTTATGGATTCAATGAATGCATGTCTTATGGATTCAAGGAATGCGTGTCTTATGGATTCAAGGAATGCATGTCTTATGGATTCAATGAATGCATGTCTTATGGATTCAAGGAATGCATGTCTTATGGATTCAATGAATGCATATCTTATGGATTCAAGGAATGCATGTCTTGTGGATTCAGTGAATGCATGTCTTATGGATTCAATGAATGTAGATTGTACAGGTTTTGAACAAGGATTTTGTGGTTCCACCGAAAACGGGTCATTTAGGAATCTTGAAGAGTTAATGGATCCATGCTTTTTGTGATTTATGCTTTTCATTTCGATGGATTTAGATTCCACAGATGTGTTTCTTTGGGCTTTGTAAATTTTTTAAATGTAAATGGATTTCATAGGTGGGTCAAATATTATATTTGACACCTTGTGCCTATTCTTGGGTGATAATGCAATAGTAATATTCTCCCACAGGGTATTTATTTTAAGCCATTGGAACTTCCTCTATGAATAATCTTGGCCAGTTGATCTATAAACCTGTTAACTCGAGTGACTAGAATATTTTCCTAGTTTTGAAATCTAGGAATTTGTATATATGAGGATTTAAACTGTATCAAATGTACAAAAATGTAAATTAATATAAAGGGAAGCACACACACACATATACTGTACTTTAGTACAAGATTGATATAAATTCTTCATTTTAGATTTATGCCAAATCAATGTACATGTACAGTAATTAACTAATTGGCCAATATGCTAATTTTGTCATTTGTTAGTTGTCAGTAATTTTTTATCGCACTTTGAAAAAGTGCTATATTGCCGTCGTCTTGTGCTGTTGGGCGGGCGTGCGGGCGGGCGGGACATAAACCAAATCTTGTCATCAAATTTCCAGGATAACTGCTTACCTGTTCAACTTGAAATTTTTACAGATGCAAGAGCAGACTAGTACCAAGATCTGATTAGGTTAAGGGCATGCTGGGTAAACTACGTGGCGGCCATTTTGAATTTTTCAACAAATCTTGTCATCAAAATTCCAGGAAAACCACTTATCCGTTCAACTTGAAATTTTTACAGATGCAAGAGCAGACTATTGCCAAGATCTGATTAGGTTTTGGGTATGCTGGCTGAATTACATGGTGGCCATTTTGAATTTTTCAATTTGGCGGCCATTTTGAATTTTTCAACTTGCTCCAAATTGACCAAATTTTTTTTTTAAAAACATCTACAAGTTCTCAGAAGTTCAAATCTGACCTTAGATTTCAGATTTGACCTTTCATTCACCTTCAGTGACCTTGAAAAGGTCAAAAAAGTTGATTTTCTAAATTGATATTTTGGATTTAAATTTAGGTCAGCTTAATTACAAAACACCTACTGAGGTCTGAAAAAGTTAAATTTTCAAGGTCGAAGGTCAAGGTCATTAAACTAGGTCACAAATGATGTTATCCAAGTTTCTCAAAGTTTGAGACTACAAATCAATTCTTGTCATCAAAATTCCAAGAAAACCGCTAACCTGTTCAACTTGAAATTTTTACACATGCAATAGCAGACTAGTGCCAAGATCTGATTAGGTTTAGGGCATGCTGGGTAAACTACGTGGTGGCCATTTTGAATTTTTCAACAAATCTTGTCATCAAAATTCCAGGAAAACCACTTATCCGTTCAACTTGAAATTTTTACAGATGCAAGAGCAGACTATTGCCAAGATCTGATTAGGTTTTGGGTATGCTGGCTGAATTACATGGTGGCCATTTTGAATTTTTCAATTTGGCGGCCATTTTGAATTTTTCAACTTGCTCCAAATTGACCAAATTTTTTTTTAAAAACATCTACAAGTTCTCAGAAGTTCAAATCTGACCTTAGATTTCAGATTTGACCTTTCATTCACCTTCAGTGACCTTGAAAAGGTCAAAAAAGTTGATTTTCTAAATTGATATTTTGGATTTAAATTTAGGTCAGCTTAATTACAAAACACCTACTGAGGTCTGAAAAAATTAAATTTTCTAGGTCGAAGGTCATCAAATTAGGTCACAAACGATGTTATCTAAATTTTCCCAAAGTTCAAGACTACAAATAAATTCTTGTCATCAAAATTGCAGGAAAACCGCTAACCTTGTCAACTTGAAATGTTTACAGATGCAAGAGCAGACTAGTGCCAAGGTCTGATTAGGTTTTGGCCATGCTGGGTAAATTGCATGGTGGCCAGTTTGCTCTTCAAAGTGCAATATTTATCACTGTGTGTCTTGTTAACAATTATTTTTAAAAACATTTCATTTGGAAAAGTGCTTGAATGTTTTCCAAAGTGAATTCCAGTGGTTGGATTTGTTTAGTAAATGATTGAATGATACTATTATATTTTGATATGTGTGTGATAACATTGTGTTAAAGTAGCCCTTTATTGCAATACAGTATATAACATGTACAGTTGTATTATTCAGCTTTTGTAATTTATTTAATTATAAACCAAATTACTTTCTTGTACGAGGAATGACTCTCCATGTTTAAAATGCCAATTTCCTGTCTAAAATGACAATTTCTGGTCTAAAATGTCACTTTTCCTGTCTAAAATGTCACTACAGACGTTCCAATTCCAAGTCATTTCTCTCTTAACAAGGAGGATTGGCTCACATACCTCGATATTCGACCTTTACCTAATCGATGAAAACATTGAAAATTTTTGATATTGTAACTGACTATAAATTCATAATCTGTGATCCAAAAGATTTGAACTAATATTTTGATCACGTCTTTAGTGTTTTGAATTTTTGTTTGGAAATAAGACCAAAACTCGCGATTGAAATTCTGAAGTGAAAAAATGGCAGCTGTTTGATTTTGAATTTTGTAATCAAGACATGACTCAATATATGGCAGAATATCAAAATAGAACCCTGGGAGCCAATCCTCTTTGAAACTTTTTATATTTCTGGTATTTCCTTCACGTGTATAAAATTATCCAGAGATATATATTTTAGAGCATGAAAATCCATTTTACTTAAGCATGGAAATGCATTTTTAACAGGTGGTTTTTCATGGACACTCTCTAAAAAATACATTGTAAAATAGGTTCTTGGAAATGCATTTTAAAATGTATATTTCATTTTTTGTATTAGCCAGGAAAAGAACATTTTAAAGCATGTGCATTTATCTATGGTAATGCATTTGGGGAGAACTGAATGACTGAGATGTATTTTTGATTTTTTTTTAAAAACCATACAATAGCAATAGTAATATACATGATTTATTCATTCTATTTTTTCATGTACATACACAATATTTAATTATCATGTTGTACTGATTTCAAACAGATATGCTTTGTTATGAATTAATTCAGTGACTGATATTCTTTTCATGTTGAATTTTGATACAGAAACAAAACTGAGACAATCATGTTTGCTGTATTAATTGATGTCATCACATGTTATGTACATGTACTCACAAGTATATTATTTTCAGTAGATATTTGTTCTTCAGTCTTGTCTTATTGAGAAAGGCATTCAACCGTGACATTTGGCAAATGGTATGTTGACAACTTATTTTTAATGAGATTGATATGAATGTATCAAAAGGCTCAAACTATGAAATTGTATGTTTTGTGTGAAGTAAAGTGCTAATTTTTTATAATCTTTTAAATGTAATAGGTACAATAATTCATATAATAACGTTTTATAAGTTAAAAATAACATTATTGTCAAACTAAAGTTCATATTGAGGAGGGAATTGAAAATCATGGTATTTTAAAACATCATGTCTGTTCATTTGACAAGTTTTATGATTTCTAAAAACCTTTTTCATAATATTTTAAGCTTTTCTAAAATACAAAAACTGACACAAAATATAGAATCAATATTCTTTGGCCTAAGTAGTTTTGATGAAAAAATTACTCTTGACTTGCAGTTTGTTTTGTAATTGCTGCCAAAAGTGCAAGTTTGAGAGAAAAGTTGACTTAAAGTAAACTGAGTAGATATCTGGATATTGTCTTAACATCATGAGTTGGACTAAGTTCATGATTCTTCAAAATAATTCTCATTAATTTATAACAATAATTTTCTATTAACATGTGAATTGACAAACATGTACACATAAACAGTTCAATTTGAGTTTAACCTGATGTCAGAAGTCTTCCTGCAATGTATGATACAAGTAATATTTTGAGTGGATACAACCACTTCTTACTTTATGTAGGTCAGACTTTGAAGTCTTATGGGGTGAAAAACTTTTTTAAAACTTTGATTGTTTTAAATCTTTTATTTTAATGTAAATTATAAAATGTGTTTTATTCATAACATTATTGAATATTTCCACATTTTGGGGGATCTTTAGTATGAAACAGGTGTTTGGAATATTTCATTGAGTCAGGATTTCTCATGAATTGAAGAATACCACCAAATTCTTAACTCCATGAACTTTTCCAGAAATATCCCATATATCCATGTACACCATGACATCTGCCTGCCGATCCTAAATTATTTGGCAGTATGATTCTAGAATTTCTTTCCTTAAATGAGTGATATATTGCCAAATCATCACTATTGTAAAATATTACCTCTTCAGGAATATTCATGTAATAAATTCATAGTACAAGGTGACCCAAAAAGTGCAAACCATGAATAACAAGCACTGCAACTTTAATTCACATTAGGAAAATTACAATGGCACTATGGCTGTATTTCAGTTTTTACATGTCTTTCTGTAAAGGTCCATACATTGTACTTTCAAGTCTAACTAAGTAACAGTAATTTAAAAATGTATAATCATAATAAGAGGCTTGCTTATTTTGAAAATAATTGCTAAGAAAGATGATAAACCCAATTTATTTTTAGAAATTTGATGCGAGAGCATGCCTTAACAAAAATAGAATCTTGAATCTTTGATGCTGTAGGATTCTATCATTATTGACAAAAGTATTGGGCTGCATTTTTGAGTTGCCTTGTATTTTCATGTAGCAACCATTGTAAAATATGTCATCAAGCAACTATTATTGACTGTGCAATCGTGTATTATTATTCTGATTAATATATGAAATAAATAGAAAACAATAATAAAGTGTTTGTACACATGTAGAATATTAGTTCTGTTTAATGGCACCCTTTGCGCTGTATTGTGATCAGTTTGCTTGGTGGCCGGAGAGGTAGGTGGGTGGGTGGGTGGTCATGTCGATGGGTGGGTGAGTGAGTGTTCCAGTGGATAAATCTTGTTTACAGGTTTCTGGCCAAACCATTTTAGGAATTCATGATCATCTGAAATTTTCAGAGATTTTTTTACCTCAGAAATTTTAGAACTGATTCATTTTTGGACATTCTTGATAAATGTTTAAGTGGCCATTTTGGATTTTCTATCCAAGGCCCACTATACTTAATTTAGAAGAAAAAAGAAAAAATATCATTGAAACATATTACTCACACACTCGCTCTAATATGAAACAAAATTTGTTTTGCTTTAATATTGAACCAAGAAAAAAATAACTCACATAGAAAAAAGCATTTGAAGTTCAGAGATCATTAGACATGCATGCACATGCTAAACAAAGTGCATGTTTTTAATTACTTTTGATTTAAAAGATGGTGACACTTCTATAAAAATGAATTTATCATGTAATACTTGTACAAGTACAAACAACGTTGCCATCTTTCAATGACATTAATAAAAACTTGATATATTAAGCTTGACAGATCGAAAATATTTTTGGATTGATTATTGTAAGCTTTGATGTGGTCCATTTGAGCTGCTGTTGGTCTCAAATGAAAGATAGGGTTCTTATCAGTACATTGGACATTCTATAGAACTCAAATTAAAAGTCTTTATTTTGCCCCAAAACACTGAAAATACGCAAAGTGGGCCTTTAAGTCCTGTCTGTTGAGACTTGTCTACAGCTTTCCAGCCAAACTGGTTGAGGGATTCATCTAATATTTTCAGGAATGTTTCTGGTATAAACTGAAAAAATGTTCAGGTTCTTTATTTGGTACTTACCAATAACTTATGTTTCATCTCTATCAAAGGCATTATGCTCCAGTCTGGGTAATTTTATTGAATGTGTTTTGCCTTTCTTACTTAAAGATGTCTGTAGGATGTAGACATATAGTGAAGTCCTGAATGATATACCATTAGTTATCTCTTGATTTCTAAATCACATGTGGGGAGGTTTCAGTTTATTGAACCAGTGACCCTTTTCCATATAGCTTTGAAATCTCGTTGATGTCTCGTTTTTAGTGATTTACTCTTACAAAAAGGTCAATTGCAGACATAGTTTTAAGTAGGGGATAAAATGCAAGAGCCAGATATGTTATAAGCACCAGAGTACTAATCAAAATAACCACGACTCAGCCATATGTTTTAATGAATTGAACAAAACAATAAACATGCTAATATCATTAGTTCTTTGATAATAATTTTCTCATAAACAATTTAAAAGCTATGTATAACGCTGGTTATATCATTACCGGTTCAATAATTGTGGTAATTTAATTAGCTGGAAAACGAAGAACATTTGTTGCTTTAGTAAATCCATCATCACTTTTAACAAATGACAGTTGAGAAGAGCCTGTTCCATAGTCAGCATGCGTGATAATGCCATTCCCTCCATGAGCTCTCAGGGGGTCGGAAAGGAAACGGATTATAGTTAAACCATCCATTGAACAGCGCCTTGGTGTCTTAATTATATAATCACCATACACTAGAACATCTCCAGGATAAAGTGTCTTGTTATAGGTACCTCCTGCTGCCAGTTCACTGTGTATTTTTAGAATAAATAAAGTTTGGACAACTTCTGGTGCGTTTCTGTAATAGTGTGCCTTATTTCCCTTCGACTCAATAATCAAACGATATGGACTTTCTACCCAATAGTTAGGCAATGGAGAGAATGTGTAATCCCCGAGTGCTACATCCTCTCCATTGTAAATCTGATCATCAGTAACCAAGTGACTTACATCTATTCCAAACCTGATCTTGTAATAGTCAAGTGCATTTCTTCCTAGAGAATAAGGACAAGGAACATTGATATTTGTATGTTAAAGACGGATTTAAGCACAGGACTCAATGAATTGTGTATGTTAAGGACGGATTTATGCCCAGGACTCCATGATATGTGTATGTTAAAGACGGATTTAAGCAGAGGACTCCATGATATGTGTATGTTAAAGACTGATTTAAGCACATGACTCAATGATATGTGTATGTCAAAGACGGATTTAAGCAGAGGACTCCATGATATGTGTATGTTAAAGACGGATTTAAGCACAGGACTCAATGATATGTGTATGTTAAAGACGGATTTAAGCACATGACTCAATGATATGTGTATGTCAAAGACGGATTTAAGCACAGGACTCAATGATATGTGTATGTTAAAGACGGATTTAAGCACAGGACTCAATGATATGTGTATGTTAAAGACGGATTTAAGCACAGGACTCAACGAATTGTAGATGATATAAATCACGTACGTTTTGTACGAAGACTTTGAATGACGAGTGCATTAAATCATCATGACTCACTGAGTCATTTGCTTTAATTCGTTTTATACAATGCGAAAGATTTTGTATCACTTAAAGTATAATTCTTTTGCAAGGAAACTTTTCAAGGGTTTCCGAGGTTTGACCTGCATAAGCAACTGCCTTTCAATTCCTTATGATGTTTTAATAGGTTTTAATCACTCAACTGCGAAATCACGAAGGTTATCAATTTCACTGAATCTAAAATTGGTCATGCATTCTGATTTAGAATTAAGAATGCAGATTATTTGAAACACTATGTTCTCATTGGCAGGATTTTGATATACCATGCCTAGGTATGTCTGTATTGTATATGGAAAGTGAATTGGTTATTAATCAAAATAATAATACCTTCTTGTATAACCTGGCTCCTGTTTGTCCTTCCTGCCAACTTATGAATTTCAATGAATGTTTCGGGCCATGGTTGCCTTTTAGAGACCAATCCCTTGAAGTCCCCAACAAACACAAACACTCTGTCATACTTCTCAACATGTGCTGTACTATTCACTATACACTTGTTATTGTATCCTATTCTTCCATGACTTGTTGGCATTAATGAAATGCTCAGAACAAGAACAAGTAACTCGATGTACCTGAAAGAATTAGTAGTTAAATAAATCTTAATCAATAGAAAAAAGTTTGCTATTTAGATTTCACCTTGTTGATACAATTCACTGTTGCTAATAAAAGATTTGGAAAATATACTGGGTGTCCATGAAGTCTATTTACAAAGTCCTTTAAAATGTAAAGAGACTTTGTATTTTTGCTTGCGGTGTGATCAGTATCTATTGAATTTATTATTAAAAATGACTTCATTCATATATCCCATTTGAGTCCATGGAGGCAGGGTTTGTGTAAAAACCGGGTGACCGGGTACTTAACATTCCTAGCAGGGTTAGGAATTGTTTTATTTATAACATTGGATCTGGACGATACATGTATGTTATTTTCGACGTCACGTTTTGAGGTTATTTCATATCGTAAGAACGTTTTGACAACGTTAACTTTTAACGTTAAAATAACGTCGGTAATGAACCGATTTAGTGAGAACACAAAGTCTTTGTCATGTTTTTTTCACCAACAAATATTTTGATATTAAAAGCCTGATTTGATAACGTTGAATTTTAGCGTTTGAGTATGTCACATATGGACTAATGTTGTAAAAAATCAAACGTTCCTGTTTGTTATGTTTTCCACACTTATGAACTTTACGGACACGTTACAACAACGTTCTTTTTATACCATCAATAGATGTCTCATGTTTACGTTGCCTCGATGTGTAAAGAACGAAAATGTGCAACGTCTTCTAGGAACTTATATGCTACTTAGTACTTATGCGCAACGTGACATGGACGTCACTGTTTGCTGGATCGATTATTTTAAAAAGTGCTCTGTCTCGTATAGGGCAAACATATCGAATAGCAATGCACTCGGTAGGCTAAGTCTGGCAAGTCAATTCGCTACTATATATCGGGGGGAAATGTGGAACTTTGAAAGTTGGTAACCCTGCTAGGAACGTTAACCGAACAAGGCTGAGTATACCTCAACCCAACCCTTTACCTATCCATAAACGTTAAAGGAAAATCAGAATTTCGTCCGGCCATCTCCAGTTGTGTGGCATTGATGCTCTCCCATATTGAAAATAATCACTGTAATGAAACGGGTATAAGATAAATGTGTCAGACTTTAAAAAAGAACCACTTTCACATACAATAGCTTTTAGGGAATAAAATCCCTAAAATGACTAGAATAAGATATTCTCACCCTATTTTGAACATCCTCTTACTGAATGCGTCCTGTTTTTGACTCACTGGTTTTAATTATATTTATAAGAAAATCAATGGCATGATACATAAATATTAAGTTGAATTATTGACACTTTATGCTCACTTAACTTGACTGATTAAACATCCATGAACAAATGATTATATATTATTGTCTAACGAAGGTTCAGTTACATCAAGAAGCTGTCTATTAAATCGTCCAACCATCCATTCATCTGTTCCTCCATTTATTTGTTTCTATGTCCAGGTGATTACTTAAACTGGTTGTGGAGTCCAACCACTTCTTTCTGTAATCGGCCCTCGTAATATTTCGCTGAAGGTTTCAATTGTTTTGGAGGCTGTGATATTCAAATTATTGCATTAATGAGCCAATACCATCATTGTGTTTATTTTATGGCCACCGTTGTCAGAATAATTTATATATGTGTCAATTTCTTAAACAGCTCCATAATGTACTGTATGATAAAATTGCCACTGAAAAAGCTATTAATTTCAAAAAATAGTTGTAAAACTTAACTTTCTGTGTCTAACCATGTTTTGTATATCCTCTTAAAGTTATGGTGGCATTATAACTATGGAAGTGTTTTTATGGAAAAGACATTTTACGATTTATGCTTGTCAATTATGCCATATAATATTATAATTTTGAAAAAAAGCTGCCATTTTGTTTGTGCTGTTTTATGTCTTTTATTATAACTTACAAAGTACTAGATAGATTTTGTTCATATTTGATATGTAAATATCCATATAGATGGTTCAATGACTTTGGACACTTTGGCCATTAGGCTGCCATTTTGCAAAATGGCCACCATTTTAATGTGTTTTATTTTACATTTTTGTAATGACACGTCGTAAAAAGGTGGCGGACTTGTGTTTTTAGGGTATCGCATGAATGTCACTTTAATTCTACTTTAACAATTATATTTATAATTTAACAAGTGCGTGATACAGGGGTTGCCATTTTAGTAAAGGGTGTAAATACGTTTCTGTGCTTGATACAGGGTATATTTAATGGAAAAGGTTAAATTATGATGTTGAATTATTGGTGTCTATCATATATTTAAGAACTGCCATCTATATATGAATATAAAGTTTAAATAACTAACGTGAACAAAAGATTAATGAGATTCTGATTGTTAGGTTCTGAGAATGCTGCTGCCATCTTTGAATAAACTCTAAATTATCAATGATATAATTATAATCTATTGTGATAACGAACACCTCCCAATCTGAATGTTTTTAACTGTACGGTGGCATTTGGATTAGACAGGTTTTACTGTATGAGTAATAGTAATACTGAAATTCAAAAAAATCTGAAGTCTAGTCTAGTCAATCTATTTTGGGAAATATTCTCAGCTATTTGAAATGAAGATCAACTTTGTAAGAAGTCTCTATAATTATTTTTTTAATTTATACAATAACATTATACTCAACTTTAGTTCAAATTCCAATGCTCTGGCCTTGGCTAATCAAAACAGTTCATTGCAATTGTTTCATCAATTATTATATTATTATATTAATATATCATAATTATTTCACATGCAAATACTGTACTGCCACTAATATTTGATGCTGTTATCTTTCACAATTTTGCAATTTTGAAATTTTGCGGATATCAATTTTCGCTAATTATAGATTTTTTATAATTTTGTATCTATTTCTTTCACCATCATATCATTTCTCAAAAAAATTTCCAGCTTATTTGATTAAATGTTTTTAAAACCAAGAAATATGAATGAAACAGTACCTTCTTACCTTTAATTATTGCTATACCATGTACTTAAAGCCTTTACATGCCACCTATCAGCTATCACCTGCTTCAAAAGCATAGGTGAAACTAAACTATTGAAATCAAGTGCTCACTTTAAATTTTTTTTATATTTTCTGTTTGGGAAAATCTGTTAGTTATCAGTTGCATTTTTGTCAGTCAAGATTTCTCTTCATCAAACCAAATCAAATCCAAGGAATGTTTAGTCAAATATCCAGTTGTTCAGGAATCGAACTCAATTCAAAGAATGATTAGTTCCATAGTGTAAACATATACAACTTTGAACAATATTGGTATCAGCCATTATGTTACATTAAAAAAAAACAGAATGTAAAAGACTTTCATGTAAGCAGGAAATTTCTTGAAAGAATACTAAAGGTTTCGCAACAGAATTTAGACGGTCATATGTTGAATTGCAGAAATTTTCTGAAAATGTAAGGTGTGTATGTTAGGCCAATGCATTATCTAAAGGAAAAGTACTCATACAGATGATAAAAAAAATTGGAGATTGAGACAGGGAAGGTGCAAAGACCCCATCAACATTTTTTTTCAAAAATGTTTTCCTGATTTTCAGTTCCTTCCATTTTTTTATAATGTTTTCACATTAATATGTTGCATTTGTAGACAAAGTTAACATACTAAAGAGAAAATATTTTCCTTTTAAGAGTTTATTTGTGTCTCCAAATGCAACATACTGATGCATAAAACATTTATAAAAATTGAGTAGAAGGGAAAATTTTAAATTCAACGAACATATAGGGCCACTGAGCATTTATTTTGCACAGGGCCTTTATTAGAAAGAACTCAAAATAAATCCCATTGGCTTTTATTAAGACTAAGAGGGAAATTGAAAACATTTTTCCAAGGGGACAGGCATTTATTAAGAGGGAAAATAGCTTTCCCAAGCCAGTGGGTGTTTATTTCGAGGCGTATTATCAATCGAAGAGTTGACACATGGCCTTCATATACTCATGCAATAGTATCTATCATCTCTGATTGCACACTTCTGTTTTACCTTTCAAGCATTCGATTTGGATTTTGGAATGTCATAAAGCTATGCGGTCAAAAGTAATCTTAATACTTTTTAGTGAAAATGCATTTATATTTTTAAAATGCAGAATCTTGCGAATGCAAAATCCTCGAAATCCGATCACCTCCACATCTGAATGTTTTTTTTAACTGGTCATGGTGTTTTAACTGGTCATGGTGGCATTTGGATTAGACAGATATAACTGTATAAGTATTAGACAGATATTACTGTATAAGTATAATAGTATTACTGGAATTCCAAAAAATCATAACGCCTACGATGCTAGTAATATTAAGTGAAAATGCATTAATATTTTTTCAAAATCAAGAATCTTTCGGATGCAAAAACCTCGAAATCAGACGTTTAAATCTAAATGTTTTTAATTTGTAGCGGTGGCATTTGGATAAGACAGGTTTTACTGTATAAGTATAATAGACATTAATAGTATTACTGGAATTCCAAAAAATCATAAGGCCTATAGCAACAATCATGTGAACTTCAGGTCAAAATTCCAATGCTCCCTTGGCCAATCAAATCAGTTCATTGCATTTGTTTCATCACTGCTCTCAATATCATAATTATTCCACATGCAAATACTGTACTACCGGTTAATTTGCGAGTTTAAATTTCATGAATTTTGAGAAACACCAATTTTGCGGCCATTAAATTTTGCGGATATCAAAGGTTTAACTTCCATTATTCTCTGAATCCTCAAAATTAATTTATCTTATCTACAGTAATTACACCTACCCAATATCATATACTTTGGATAAGATTTACAATATCTAGATCTTAGTCAATGGCATGTTGCACCTCAGCCTTTAATTGGCGATATTCGCGACTATTAATTTTCGTGATTTTTACACAATCGCGAAAAGCACGAAACTAAATTGCACGCGAAAAATATCGGGAGTACAGTACATTGAAACCATACACTCTTATATTTCATAAGAATTTGCAATCAAGCCTAACAAATCTATTGGCAAAATATTAGAAGGCCAGCAAATGTACA